TGAAGGTGTTACGTGCCTTGTCAGCCGCAAGATTATACTGTATTATTTGGAACGGTTGGCAACCCAACCTCGGACGGTAACTTATCTTAGGCAATTTAATGATAACTGTTGCAGTGCCACTGCCCACAAACATTGATGCTAAATAGTGCTAACTTCGTGAAATAGTAGCAGTTCCGCATCACAATCCGTACACGAAAACTCGCTTCCGAACATCAGAGCAACCCTTAACGGATTAGACCAATGAAATTTTGAAATGTCTTTTACTGGGGGAGGGTCTTATCTTTGTTTCTTAGCTTATTTTTGGCCTATGAAATGCTCATAAAAGGTGATTTGCTGAGGCGCCGCTGGGTGGGGAACTATGTTACGCGTCACAAGATTCCGTAAAGTCATTGGGAGCGTAACATGAAACCGTACAACGGGGATAAACAACGTTTATGGACACCCTGCCTCATCGTGCAGGGTGTCTTATGGTAGTTAGATTTCATTATGACAAAATTTACTTCACATTTGACTCTTTGGGTGACTTTAAAGTCCTTATAGCTGCAATCGTTGATCTGCAAAATATTGTTCCATACGGAAAATGGCACGTTCGGCCACCACAGGTCGTTTCCAAGACCTTGTGAACATAGTTTTTAAACCGCCGTTTAAAATGGGATTTTATTAACCGTATAAAACACATGTTAGGTTAAAAATGTTCAACACCAATAACCATTACGTTTAACTTCAATACTATTGACCACATGACCAAAACTTCATTCATTTCATTTGCTGACTCTCTTCCCTCCTTCACCGGTATCTACGTGAGATCCCAATCCACCTACATTTTTAAATGTCACTCGGGTGTCATTGTACTTATCGCTGAAATGTCGTCTTCAAAGAGCGTGGACTTCGACAATGCGTGAAGAAAATCAAATATGACAAAACAGAGTTTCCAAAGGTATATATAACTTTAGTTGACCTGGAAGTGATTCATTGTACATTTGATTCAAAGGGTCACTGTATGGATTCATGTTACGGAAGCGCCGCTGTACGGATTGTGATGCGGAACTGCTAGTGGAATGTCACTTACCGGAAAAAATGGAGCGAAGTCCTCCAACAGTGTCGGTTAGTGCAGTTTATAGCAGAGCAACCCATATGTACGATATTTCAGTACAAATGTTCAGAAAGGATACAGAGGTGGTATGATGTGTTGTCGGTGCAGCAAATTATCAGCTGTCATTGAATCTGTCGATCAAAGTTAACCACGCCCTTATTTGGCATACATTTTATATCTAAATACGACCTAAACTAACGAGTTAGAAAAAAATCCACCCCCCTCACAGTTGTCAGGCACTCGGAACCTATCGAAAAATACAATAAAAGTCCATGGGACCAACCTGTAAAACTGTGAAAACGGACATTTTAACATGGGGGCTATGGATATTTGCTCCCTTTTAGGATCTCCTTCTAGCGGATTTGCGATGTATTGCAGTTTTTCGCACTTTCGGGGTAGGCTTCATTTTTTTTTAGATTAGAATGTTGCTAACCCTCAACAAGTGACAACTTTTAACATGCAATATAAAAAATATCTGAGGTATTTTGAGCTAAAATTTCACATACAAACTCTGGGGACATCAGACATTTATTTTACATCTTGTGAAAGGGGCATTAGCTATACCACCCCTTTAAACTGTCAATTTGAGATTTGAATCCATGATGGATTAGGAAATTGTTCTGCACAAAAGAGGGTTTTTAAAGACACATTACATTGTTGTTGTTGTTGTTGTTGTTTCACATTTTACGTTGTTGAGCAATATTGCTATAGTGCAATATGTCTGTATCAGCACACTGTGATTACCTAAGAAGCCATGCTAATTTACAGCCACATCGCTCTGCTCCTTATGTATATTTATAGTAAATTAGATTTTTCAAAGTTTAATTATTTAAAGGTGCAGTCAGTAGGCTACTTTTATTTATTTATATTGTATAAATTGTTTAATAGATTTCAAGTTTATAAGAAGTCAAAAAGCACCATAGAACTGACCACATTCTATGTCTTAAAATAAGACTTGATCTCTGATCGTGACCCTCTGCTTTCACACTGCCTTGCTTGTAACACACAGAAACTGACTGTGACACATCCCCATCCTCCTCTCCCTCCCCCCCTCTCTCTCTCTCTCTCTCTCTCTCTCTCTCTCTCTCTCCCACACACACACACACACACATGTTTATAACTGCACACGTATAAACCCATTATGTAAGATCCTCCCTCTCTCTCCCCCCACATTTCCTCAGCTTCACTCACGAGGGTCAAGTAAGGACATGCACAGAGAAGGGAGAGTGAAAGAAAGAGGGAAATGGGGCCTCCAAATCCTTCCATCTTCTACTTACCTCTACACTGCAAAAAAAAAAATCACTTTATCAGTCATTTTGTAACGTTTTCCAGTAAATTGACCAACCTTAAAACAAGTTACTTGAATAGAAAAATAACATAAAATAATAAGACTTTTTATTTTTAAAGCATATACGATGTTATATCTTGAGGGGAAAAAAATTTGTGAGCTTTATAGCTTTCTTTTTTCTTTATTAATGTTTGTTTGTATTTTTATTGGTCAAAAATACTGATTTATTTTAACAAGCACATGTGTGCCACATTCAGAGAGTAAAATCTGTTCCAGAGGTGGGCTTTCAGTGGGAGATTGGATGAAAATAAGAAAGATGGCTATAGAGAATGTTTTTCGGCATTCTCGAATAGAAATACAAGTCTAATTTCAATAAAACGAATAAACCTAAAAACAAAAAAAACATCAAACCAGCCCTGTCTCAACTGTTAGAGCACTTCCTGACCCTTAGAGTGTTTATGAATGGCTGAATGGGAATATTCTGAACAATAATACCATATTATTATAATAATAGCTTAGACGCAACGGGGGGCTGTGATGAGGGGAAACTTAGGTATGTTGAGAGGCAGACAGGCTGCGGGAGGCAGGAGGTCCTGGGACTGGGTCAAGCCTTCAGGGATGCAAAGGCTGTTTACATGAGGAAGGGCAGACTGCGGACTGTCAGGTTACGTCATGCCGGCATGCGCTGTGTTATGCCTCTTATATAATACGAAAGGGAAAGAGAGAAAATGGACTTTGTATGGAATGTTCTCTTCCTGATGCTCTTTCTTAAATCTGCTTTAGTGTGCCTGTTGTTGGGTCGAGACGTATACTGCGCTCTCATTCGCCATTAAGCTCTCAGTCATCAGGGCTGATTTATATTACAAGTAAACCAGATACTATTGAGCTGCATGAATGATCAGGGAACATTAAAACAGACGTTTCCTAGACGCTTGACCTTGACACTTCTGAAATCTGTCGGGATAAACTACAGTATTTGAATTAAAAGAATAGTACCTGCAGGTTTCAATGAAAGCACACGGCAAGTTCCTCTGCTTCAAAGTTTATGTGAGGACAAAGTAGCATCATAAACCCCTTAAGCTGAGAAACCCCTTTCGTAATAATTGTACGGATATTAGGCTAGCGCTAGGATTTTGTTGGCTTTAGCAGTTTGTTTCAACTGGTTGCTGTTCTTAGGGCTAAGGCCTTGCTTTCCAAGTCTTGATTTCAGTCTGTTTACATTTCTCATAATATTAGTTTGATGTTAGTGCCATCTAGTGGTTTGGGTTGTTCAATTGGCTTCATGCACAGCTCCACTACTTCCTGTAGTGGACGATTAATATAGGCTATATATGAAGAGTTCAGATGCAAAAGCCTCTAAGTGCCATTTGAAATTTTCTTCTAAAATGATCATTTTTATCAAGCTTGTATATTTAAGTTCAGTAATTTCACTTAAATGGCAATGAAGATTACCTATTAATTGTCATTTAAGTGAAATTACTGAACTTAAATATACAAGCTTGATAAAAATGGTCATTTTAGAAGAAAATTTCAAATGTATATATATATATATATATCTCACAATATAATATTTTCCTCATTATTGTGTACATTGCACATACATATCCCATATAAATGTGAATAAACTTTATATAGTACATTCAAACTTTATACACACACAGTACCATATTTTATCAAATCTTTATATTAGTAAGTACTGTATATTATTGCATAAAAAATTACATAAATTAGGATAAAAAAGTACATACATATTTTTCAATGTATGAAAAAGCAATTATAGTAATATTGTAATATTATTGTAAGTATATTGTAATATTTTAAAACAAAATATTGTTCTATGTTCAATATAAGTTAAATCAGTTAATAATTAAAATGAGTTAGATGTTCATATGTAAGAAAATATAGCCTATTTTCTTTGCATAAAGGATATCTTTATCTCTTTTTAAGGGTTTTTATGCATTGCAACTGTTTAAGGATATAATATTTTGCAGTGTTATTAGACTGAATTTATGTTTAAAAAAAGGTTTAATTAAAATAGATGAATGATACATAAATAAAAGATACAATTAGGTTTGATTCATTAAAGTTTTCATAGTCATAGTAAGGTGCTATAAGAGTCTGTTTTATTTTCTCAAACATGGTACAAAATGCATTCATCTTGCAACTAAATTCTTTGAATAAAACACAAATATCCTGTTTAAGCCACAGTCTTAGGATGGCCGTGTCATTTGATTGACAAAAATAAAACCGATACTTCAATATACAACAGGATATGTGTTCCACAGAGACTGAACAAATATAAAACAAACATGAATAGCAGTGCAAAAGCACCAGTCAAGAGGTAGACAATTCACAAAATCGAAAGCGATTGTGACTAACACACTGTGCATTCACTGTGTCAAAAGAAAGTAAATACAAATGAAAGTAAATAATAGTAGTTGAGAGTAAAGAAACATTAAAGAAGCTGTATGTAAGAAATGTATTTCAAATAATCATAAAATGGCCCTGATATGTCACTAAACATTAAGAAATCATGTTCATTTCAAATACTTATATCACTGACAACAGTAGTCCAGCCAGTCATGTTGTTTTTTGTTCTGATGCTCCACCCTCCACCTATCTACCAATCACAAAGTCAGTAGTGTTGCAGCATCCGGGTTGCCAGCTCTTCTCTAGTTACCACAGCTGCAGCTACAAACATGTCGGATAAAAAAGGAAGGGGATACACGGCTCTACAGTAATTTGAAAGTGATTGCAGTACCAGTTTTGGCCACAATCTTACATACGGCTCCTTTAATGTCGTGACAATTGATCCACTTATTCAGTGTGCCATGCCTGTCTCTTAATCGGCAGGCCGTCACATACCCGCTCTCGGTCTCCGTCTTCACTCCGGGGTCTCGCAGGCAAGGCCACAGTGCTGCGAGATGCAGGCAACCTCTGAGCGGTGTCAGCAGAATGGCAGGTGACTGAATTCCATGCTCTGCGTCTTGGGACGCCCAATTTCCTTAGGTTTGGACTGTTCATTCCTCCATCCAGTGAAGAAAGTCTGTTACCTGACTGAGCAGCAGACCCCATCAGGGAGGACTCTGAGTGTGTAGCACGGCGTCGTGGAAGGGTATTAATGACACCTCGGACAGAACCTGGAGTGGGGTCACTTTCCAAAACAGAGGTAGATTGATTTCGAGGGAGTGCTGGCGGATTAGGTTTTGGATCATGTCCCTCAAGGGTCACCTGCTGCGCCTGCTTTCTTCTCTGGGAGATTCTGCTCTGGATCTGCTGAAGTTGGAGCTCAAAGTTATACACTTCTTCGGTCAGCTGGTTGACGCGGTCGAAACCTGCCAGAAGGCTGTCAACACATGGCACCAGACGGTCCACATAATGGTGAAAGTCAAAACTGTCTGAAATTATAGATGAATCGGAGGCCAAAGAGGAGGCAGAGGATGCCTGGCGGGGCCCGATGGGACTGAGCGGGACCGAGCAGTTGGAGGCTGCGGAGCCCTGGGAGGATCTGGAGGGTGGAGGAACCATTCCCTCAAATTTGACTTTGTGTCTAAACTACAAAGGAAATAAAAGTTTGGGGTCAGAAACATTTATTTTTCATGTGTTATGTTTACGTTATGTTATGTTATTTTACAAACACTTTATCATGCATTTCTGAATTTATAACTCACAATAGCAACTTTATATCATGCAATTCTGAGGAAAAAAAGCCAGAATTGTGAGATAAAAAGTCGCCATTACCTTTTTTATTTTTATTTTTTTTTGGAAAAAAAATTGTCTTCCAAAAGTGTCTTATGCTTAGCAAGGCTGCATTTATTTTATCAAAAATACAAACTTTAATAATTTGAAATATTATAAGTGTATCCCTCAAACCATATTCACTAGTTTATATAGCCCTTAATCTTGTATTTGGGTCAAAAATGGGCACCCATAGAAATGAATGGGAAAAACTGTTATTTAGAGCATTCTAAAATAAGCCAAAATAAGACACCAGGTGACAGCAAAGTCACTTCATCTTTACGTTTTAGCTCTAAGAACTAATTGGAATGATATTCTAATGTAGTTAAAAAAAAAAACATAAAATAAGCATAATTTACACAGAAAATATGGTACTTTTTGAAGTAAATAAATTTAAAAATACCCCCAAAATGAAAAAAAAACCCCACATAAATGGATAGACAAAACTTTATCGAAGACAGTGATATAATATTTATAATGAATAAAAATTAGGATTCCTCTGTGCCCACATTTGTTCACAATTACAGGATTAAATGACAACTCCGGCGCAAAATGAACCTTTGGTCTAATTACACATTGTTACCTCGTCAACCGTTCTCTGAGATTTGTTTTCATGATTGCCGAATGTAAATAGTTTTATCTATGAAAACAGTTTATCCTATAACGCTATATGGGGCATAGAGTAATGACAAATAAAAATCGCTTGTTATTACCACTAAAACGGCTCAAAATAGCCCCACACCAACACGACAGCATAACAAGGGTCCCTACATTCAAACCGAAGTATTGAGAACGTTGTTAGTGTCCATACAGTTTAATAAGAAGATATTTTATACACACAGTCAACTTCGCGAATACAGGAAGAAGCCATCTTTGAAAAAAAGCCTCTACCAGTCGATCTACGAACGCCGATCCATGTGCGCTGAACTGTGCAGAATCTCATATGGTCCGTTGTTTCCAGAAGAAACACAAACACGAACCATTTTCTTCTCTTCAATATGTACACGTAGCCTACTGTTCGCGCTCACTTTATCACCTTATTCACATCTCACCAGTGCACTTGGATCGGCGTTTGTAGATCGACTGGTAGAGACTATTTTTCCAAGATGGCTTCTTCCTGTATTCGCGAAGTTTACTGTGTGTAAAATATCTTCTTATTAAACTGTGGACACTGACCAGGGCCTAAAGTTAATTTTTTCGGCCACCGGCCACTGTGGCAGGTGGATTTAAAAATTCACCCGCCACAGAGACTTTTTACCAGCCATTTTTTTTTTTGCCTCATAAACGTAAAAAAAAAAAAAAAAAAAAAAAAAACAAACCCGGGAATTTCACAATATTGTTCTTTAACTTGTAAGAACACACATTTTAGTGCTGTCAAGTAATAATAACTCTAATAACATACATTTAAAAAAAATTCTTTTTATTCATTGATTTTGACAGACACACACACACACAACATATATAGTATACTCAACAGATAGACCTACCGCAGCTCGTAAACAAATCACACGCGGCTGCAGGGTTGATGGCGGATTTAGTCACGTACAGGTCTTACTCTTAACAGCTTTTAGTTACAGCGTTCAGGAACGGTTAAATATGAACTAAATTAATAATGTTATTACTGATAAAATTACCGGGTACCGGACATTTTCTCACCGGTTCCCAACTCCCAACATGCACAGTTGCACACGCACACACATCTGTGCAACTGTCATTGTACTTTAACCTACAACAGCGACGCGTTACATTATCTCATCCCATCTCATCAACAGTTTAATACTCGCACACGTAGTCAGAAAAAGAGCCTCATCTTCTTTCTGATCGCATGAACGTTACGAAACAACAGTCGCTGTCATAAATCAGCCGCTCACGAACCTTGCCATTGCCGCCGATTGTTCACTTTGTATTAAAATGTCTTCTTTACTTTTCTTTTTCTCATCCTCATCTTTTTGTTGGCTGTTTGTTTTGTTTCAGCTGGCCTCTTTACCCCAGTAATGTGCCGCCACATTTTTGCTAAAGTCCACCGCAATAGCGGACTTCGTTGAAATGTAAAAATCCTAATGAATCACTCAATTCTCATTGGCTACCGGCCAATGTGGCAGGTAGATTGACAGTGTTACCCGCCAATAGCAAAATTCACCCGCATTTGGCAGGTGGTCGGGTGTTAATTTCAGGCCCTGACACTGACAAAGTTATCAATGCTTCGGTTTGAATGTAGGGACCCTTGTTATGCTGTCGTGTTGGTGTGGGGCTATTTTGAGCCTTGTTAGTGGTGATAACAAGCGATTTTTATTTGTCATTACTCTATGCCCCATATTAGCGTTATAGGCTAAACTGTTTTTAGAGATAAAACTATTTATATTCGGCAATCATGAAAACAAATCTCTGATAACGGTTGACTAGGTAACAATGTGTAATTAGACTAAAGGTTCATTTTGCGCTGGAGTTGTCCTTTAAGCAGTTTTTTTTTCACCCACTTAACATTGTAGAATTGAATCAAAAAAAAAAAATTGTGTGTGTTCAGGGGGCAAACTTAGGAAAAGTAGACAAGTCTTGTACTGCTCAGATCAAGGGAAGTGTTTTTAAAAAATAAATCAAAACTTTTTGCCAGAATACGGTTTTAGGGTTTTCTATTTATACTCTTTCCTATTCTATTTTCGGACATTGTATTTGTACCTCTTTGGTCTTGCTGAGCCCCATCCAGAGCTTGAGTCGTTTAATGAGAAACTGTACCATCTCATAGTCCTGCGGCTCCATGGATGGTCGGTAAATGTCCGTCTGTACCATTCGGTAGGTTCGAATCAATACAGCTGCACATAGACGCCCCAGTACCCAGAATCCAATGCCTACAGCAGACAGGCAGTAGAGGGGTCCCACCACTGGATGATGCTCACAAAGTCGACGTAACCCCATGTTCCCCTTTAACAAACAGAGCAGAGAGGAACTCGCCTGCCCAAAGGTCCTAAAGCCCTCCACTGTACCCGAGAAGAGCTGAAAGAGAAAGATGTTGGCTTCGTTTTCAGGTGCAAAAATGATTTAGAGCAAAAATACAATGGAAAGTCAAATGAAAAGAAAACACTGTACCATGATGCCTGTGTGAGAGAAAAGAAGCAACAGGAGGAGCAGCAGAAACACCACGCCACAAATCTGAGGGAATACCTGTCGAATAACTCGTCCTATCACCATCCATCGCCTAACAAACCGCAGGATCCCCACCATCTGTAAAAACACACCTCTCAATACCTGTTCTACACCTTCACTGACCAACAGAAACTGATCATAAAGCTTGACGTAGAACATAAGGCACTTTAAGACCCAAAGTATCCCATTACTGCAATTAATTAAACTCGAAAATTGCATGCGGCATTAAAACTCATGATTTGTAGGTCATTTCTTAGGTCGTAGTAGGTGTGCTAAAATATATTTGTTAAATTTATAAATGTTATAAGATATTCAAGATTAAAGTTTGAAAATCTCCCATTTACATAAGCTGTGTCTGAAATCGCTCCCTATCCACTAAATAGTGCACTCTATCGGGTGTCGGCCATTTTGTAGTGGTGTCCGAATTCTGAGTGAACGACATCATTCGCTACATTCATTCACTACTTTTACCCACAATCCTCTCTGAATTCGAGTGTACATTCGATGTACACTCGCTGAAGCCCTATTTCCCACAATCCAATGCGGAGAGAACTGAGCGCGCATGAAAGTTCGGCGCGAGCAAGTTTAAACCAGAGATTACATTACATCCAGTGGAGGATTTGAAAAATGTCCGTTAATCGTCGTTTTGAACATAATAACGGTCGCCGGAGGGCGCTCGACGACACGTCATCTGTGAACGTGAGAGTTAATGTACAATTTCAGTCGATGAAACTACAAAGCTGGCACGGAGGTATAATTACAAAATAAAGTCATTATGATTGTTATTGTTGTTAATATTATTTTATAAAGTAGGTAATGTAAGATAAAAGGAGTTTTATCAGTACGCGTGACGAAGCCTTTTCTGCGACAGCTCCAACTCTCCGACGAATTCACTCACTTCATCTCCTTCACTCCTTGCAGATATAGTGCACTCAAATGCCATACACTATATAGGGATTAGTGAATGAGTGAACGAGTGAGCGGTTTCAGACACAGCTATAGACTGTATACTTCCGTATTGTGACAACTGACCTTTCGCCGGCCCCTCCCCCAAGACGGCCATTCTCCAAACACACATCATAGCAACCGTTACTATGTGAGCAGGTCCATCAAACATTGACTGTCAAACATGTGGGTATACCTCTTCCCATCATGGCAATCTGTCGCGCTGGCTGTGTTTAACCATTTAAGTAGTAATAATAACTAGAGGGCGTGGCTTTTGTGAACGGTCAATAATTTGAGTTAAATGTACAATGGAAAAAAGTAGGGCAAAGACTTGGTTTATTTCGATAGTCCACTTTAGACATTCTGCTAACTATAAATAAAGTTTACTGAGTCCGAAATTTTCGTAAGTGTTTTTTTCGTGTTCGTCAGCATAAAAATTTGTCACACACAGAAACCTTGCACACTGAGTCCGATGCATATTTATTAAACCTTTGCGGGGAAAAAACGCACAAAAATACAAAATGGATTCATCAAGCAGTGAGGATGATTTTGTTGCCCTCTCTCTTACTGAAAAGAGAAGAAAGAGAAAATATGGGCTCTATGCACGGCGGTATTTCCGATGAAGGATTAAGGATGCTCGATAACTTCCGCCGATCGTAGAGTCGGTATTCAATACCGAGAATTTATATTGAATTTTATACTCCATGGTTATACTACAGAAACGTTAGTCACAAAAACAGATAAAACAGACACCCCTCGTTGTGTTTATGCTTCTTTTTTAAATTATATTAAATACACATAACTAAAAAATTACATCTAAACGTACGTTTCGTTTCAAAGACGGGAGGACAGTAAATTTTGAAGACTCTGCCATAATCCCGTTTTCCTCGGTTCTCCTCCGCTTAAATCTCCACAACCGGAAATGGACGAGCATCCTTGCGTCAAATGCGGAACTTATGCGTGCATATAGCCCATTGGGTCCATCCAATCCTGAAATTGCGCCGAGGAAGGAGAGTTCCACTTCCTTATCAAGGAGTCGCGAATTTATCCCGAGATAAATGGAACAGTTTGATGCTTTGCTAGTGATTCTGGAGCCACATATTAAAAAGAAGACCACCAATTTCCGTGAGCCAATCAATCCTGAACAAAGACTGGCAGAAGCGCTGGGCAGACAGAACAGCTGTATAGGCTTCGGGTTATATTGTACCCAAATAATACATTAGTAATCGAATTGGCTGCTCAATCACACCTTAATCGATCCAAAATTTTGGGGAGGTTTCCTTTTCTAATCCGAAAGAGAGAACATATAAACACTTGATCAAATTGAAAACCGAAACTGAAAGGACTGCACATTGTGAATTGTTAAAAAAACATCTCAAAATGCTGGCTGTGGATGCGAAAAACTCAGAAAGTCGAACCCGATCTGCTTAATTTTATGACGGGCGAAAGTTTCGGAGGCAGTGTGTAAGCGTGGTTGATATAACGTGAGGTTGATTTTTTTTTTTAACGTGCGAAAATTTCAGATGCGAATTTCGGACTCAGTGTGCAATGGCCTTAACTTTGCAACTACGTCAACTACCAGTCAGAGTACTAGTTGACTGTTAGAATAATATATAGTAGAATTTTTTATAACTCTTTATTTTGATGGTTCCTCCCACAGACATTCTACTCACTATAAGTAACTTTGAAAGTACAGTACATGCATCTCAACTTATTCTACTAATCCTCTAAGTCTACTAATGCTCTAATGAAAAATGCAAAGTTCATTACTAGTTATGGAAATAAAGTTACTTCCATGCATTGGTTGTTGTTTGGATGGAGGCATATCTAAATGTGAGCTTGAGGTTGAATATAAAAAACTCAATTGTAAATGTCTGTCGTTTCACCAGAAGATAAAGTTAGGACATTTTAAATATAGAAAAAAACATGGAATGAATAATATCCATTCAGTGAATATATTTGACTGCTGTTTTGCAGCATGTATTAATATTTCCTTCAGGAAATGCAAATCTAGTTCCAGAAAAAAAATGTTGACAAATCATTCCTTTGTTTCAGGACCAATAGCCTACCTTTAGAACCAAGATGGTTAATAAGATTGCTGAGAGCTGATTGGATTTCCTGGCCAGTATGGCAGCACTGTGAAAGTCAGCAAAGGATGTGGGCCGGGAGCGATGTCTGGAGACGCAGACTTCAGTCGTGTAGAGGAAATACAAACGAAGAACAGCTGCTGCTAGTGTCAGAAGAGCTAACAATGGCTGAAACCAGCACCAGGCTTGCCTCAGGTATTGACTTGGCTTCATGATCAAGGCCCATACTTCAGCACTCACAAAGCACAGGGCGAACAGCAAAAGCACAATCTAGAGAGAAGACCACAAATCCCTTTTAACTCGTTTTGATTCTTTTCAAACTACAAGATTTGTTTCTATTGTGAATAAGTCTTGTAGGAGAGCCAGTACCGTCAATGTGACGTGTAAGTCTGGACCAGATATTGGAGAGATGTGAAAAGGCTGGATAGAGATGAAAGCCAGGATTCTGCCTGTGTGTGTTTGATCCAGGAGAACAGAAACTGGTGCCAAGATGCCCGTCTGTTTATGATACTGAGTGAACTCGATCAACACTGCCTGTGTCCTGTCACAGAAAACATAATGCAGTTCCTCAAAAAACATTGAGTGTCTGATTCTAATATTAATATAAAAATCCCATTCTTACAGTATGTGTGCAGAAAAATCGGTAACACTTTACAATACGGGTGCACTAATGTGCATTAATTCATGCTTAACTAATGCACAGATAATCATGCGTTAATGTATAACTCATGAAGAACTAAACCATTAATTAACGATTCATCAGCAACTAATAAAGAGTCTATATGATTAATAGATTAAGTAATACATGAATTGCTATTAATTCAATGTGTCATTGTGTATTAATTCCTTAATAACATATTTTATATAGTATTTTATTTTATAACATCATTAGCTAATGATTTGCAAAGGTATCATTATGTTATGACTTTACTTGTTGGGGCACATCATTATTAACTAATCATTTAGTAATTGTAGTAATTTGCACATGAATTTGCACTAACAATGAAGTAATTAATAATGTATTAATGCATATTAGTGTACCTGTCATATTATCTGGAAGTTGAAATACAAGGCTTTGGCTCATTCTGGTAATTAACATATTAATTAACACTATTAGTTAAAGAAAATGAGTTATTATGGAATTAATCCACAATTACATATTTAATTAATAACAATTCATGTATGAACTGATACATTAACTTTACAGACTCTTAATTAGTTCATAATGTGGTAATCATTAATGAATAGCTTAGATAATCATTAGTTACACATTACTTCAGTATTATTTGTGCATTAGTTAACAATGAATTAATGCTTATTAGTGCGTATTAATCCTTAATGCATGACTGGACACGTGGAGATAATACATATATTTTATGCTATAGTGACATACCGTGTTGTCAACCAGTTTGCTGTCTGTAGGTCCAACAGGATCTGATGTGTGGATTCACTGTTGTTCCCAAGCATTACTTCCTCTGTCTGACTGAATGCACATGATGCACTCCTTAGCCTTGAAAGAGGAGATTGTGATCATTTATGGGAATCAAATGCATGATAATGCTATTATATTCTCCCATACAGCTGTTCAGGCTTTCCAGAACTGGGCCCTCATTCAATTATGAAATAATTGTTAAAAAAAATAAATAAAATAGGCATATTTGTGGAAACAAAATCTAATATTTGAGTTACATAAAAGCTTTTTATTTGTTTTCTTCCTAATTGTCCTTGAAAGAGTGGCCAAATAGTGGGCAAGCAGTGCTGCTGGTGTGGTGGCTGCAAATCCACTTGTTGATAAGAAAGGAGGAAAGAGCCACATATGGAAATATTTTGGATATTAGCTCAATAGCGACACGGCGTGCTCGTTTTTACAGATGCGCAAGTTCATTGTTGCATAGCAACGACAGACGCCACGGGAGAGCAAGCACTTGTGGAAAGGAGAAGGTGCTGCGAACTGAGCTCTCCATGATGATGAGGAAGTATTAGCAAAGAATTCATTGATTTCTAACCCTTGCATTTGCTTTACTAGATACTGTATATTTCTGGAGATGAGAAATAAAAAGGCGGCTGAAATCGTTGAACAGATAATGGGCCAGATCCGAGTCTATTTTTGCTGCGCTGCTCATGCTTAATTAAAAGTGAAAGCACACTTTTGAGGGCGGGCCCATCTAAGATTATCTTGTCCCGGGCCCAGGCAAGACTGACAGCTGGCCTGGTTGTATAATCTCTCACCCCGTTGAAAGTGCTGGAGTGATGTTGCTGTGTGCTGAGGAGCTCTGGTGTCCAGGGTTTGTATGTGATGAAACATGAGCATTCAGAATCAAAGGAAGTCGACCAGAGTGGAACTGATCTCTGATGTTTTGACTGCAGACTTTGAAAATAATAATAATAAAAAAATCTACAAAAGTTAGGTTTTTTTTAAGATTTATTTTTTACAAACTCTCAAAAAGATGCATATATAAAGTATTAAGTAGTCTTTACCGTCTTGAAAATGAATTTTCTGCAGTCTTGCAGGGCCAGACAGAGAAAGAGAAGGGTTTTCATGTAGGTGTGAAATCAATCTCTCATCTATCCACTGTTCTGCATTCATCCATCTGAAAAAAGTAATATATTTTGAAAGAAAATTACTTTCACTGATTCATGACAAACTAAAATAAAGATACACACACATTGTGTATATATAATATATATTCTTTTTGTGTGTGTGTGTGTGTGTGTGTGTGTGTGTTTTCAATGACTTTTATTTTGATATCGTTGTCTTGCGGTTTCTGTTTTTTATTTGCTTAGGCTGCACCTTAAAACTTAAAATTGCTGCCTTCAGAGGACTCAATTAAAGGTAGGAAGGCATCTAGACATCCGAATCCAATGTTAGCTTCACTTCCGGTCTCCTGAGATACCTTCATCTGATCAATTTTTGAAGGTAGCATAGATGTATCCTTCGCTGCCTTTGATATACCACAATCCTGTGCTTTCTATTCTGTGACAGAAAAAGAAAGCATCTGAAGGTTGCAGTTGCTGGTCAATTTTTGTGTGCAAACGAAATATATGTTTTTTTTTTTTTACCAGCGTTTTCCACTGATGTAATTTCTAGCAAGAAATTACTACTGTAGTAATTAAATATTTGTTTAGTTCTCACCAAAGCTTGCTCTATTTTACTGTAGATCATTAAACTGTAGCGCTGCCTTAGAAATCTGTTCGAAATCAGTTTCGTGGGTTGCCTTTGTTCAAACTTTCCTGTCTGCAGATATTGCCTATAAGGCAGTGAGGCAACAATTCAGCTGCCCAAGTTTTCAGATACATCCTTGGTATTCCTTGTTTTTTGTTTTTTTGTTTTTTTATAGTGAGTCTCACATGTGCCATGTTAACCTCTGGTTATGTTGTGTATACCCCTGTTTTTCAGTTTTCTTTAATTAAGTTTAATTTATTTATTTGAAAAGGGACTATGTACATGTTTTCATTTCATGCATTGTATTGGATTAAGCCAAAGTTTAATTTTCATCTGTAGTCATGCAAAGTCATCACTAACATAAACGATAAGATAACACAAACCATTCCAACGTAAAATAAAACACACACACACACACACACACAGGGCCACAAAATAACGATTACAAATTATTAAGGAATCAATTAAACTGCGTCATTTGTATGCAGAGTTGGGCCGATTTAAAACAAACAAACAAAAAAAAAATCTTTAACTCCATTTTAAAAAGACTTTTTCCAAAAAGACAGTACAATCTTTATATCCTCTGGTAAGGCCAGGATATAAAGCTATTGTGTTTCCTGGTGCCCAGTTGGTTTCTTATCTTTCTGTGGATTATTTTCATCTGCTTTCCGCATTTGGATTATCTTTGATTGTGTGTTTGTGGAATGAATAATGCTTTCAATTAGACCCAAGCCTCTCCTCTTCCCTACAACCACAACACTAAAAACCTATATATACACACAAATCACTAGGGTCTCTGACACGTCAAAAAGAAAACAGGATAACTGGTGATGAATATATATATGTACAGTATAGTCTGGCTCACCCTGATAATGCAGTGAGACTCGGCTGCCCTGGTGAAGCTGAGATCAGCGTGTGTTTTATAGCTGATTGAAGCAGTCTGCTGTTAGCCTCCTGCACATGTTCCTGGTAGTTCACCATCAGAACCACCAACAGGAAGAACGTATAGACCAAGCAGCTCTGATTATCAGTTTAAAACATAAAACATCAGACCAATAAATATTAATATGCTTTAGGGTCAGAATGCAGGAGAAATCCAGCTGTTCTAGGTCTCAGAGGACTAAATGAGTGCTGAGTGGATCTATCGGTGTGAGCTCACCCTCATTAAGGCTCTAAGCTTTCTCAGCTTCCATGCTTCCTCTTTAGCCTGCAGCAAGCCGTATCCACAGGGAGGATGAACCTTATCCTCCAGATGCTCTTCTGTCCTTCTGACCTCTGTCTCCTGAGCCAAACGCTCCTCCACCTCTGGGTCTACTGGTCTCACCACAGCAGCCAGATATAGTGCCTGAATACATATCTGCAGAAAAACACCTGACGTCATGAACAAAGTAAGGATGTTTTGATTAAAAGCAAAAGTAATATTTTGATAGAAATGCACATCTTTCAGTTTTTCACTGTGTAAAACAGATTTATAGCTGACTGTAAATGGTTCCAACAGCAAGGCAGAAGTGAGGAAAGCTGACAGGGCAGAAACCAGCCACATGAGAACCACAGTGCTGGAAAACATGCTCCCATACAATCCCACCAGAGCCAGGCATGCTCCCAGCAGAATGGCCACCAGCAAGTGAAGCACACGCACAACCCACGATGGAAGATTCAAGCCAGGTACACCACGAACAACACCTGTAGAACAGCCCAGAGGTTCACAAACACACACAAATCAATGTACTAAACCCTTTTTTTCAAGATTTACGCATTTCACTTAATAGTAAAATTCCATCTAATTGAATTGAATATTTTCTACATACTGTATCATTCATATTATGAATTAAGAAGTTTAAATGAGTAAAAAAAAAACTAGAACTTAATCAAACATGTTGTATGGAACAAGGGAATGGACCGTTTTAGTTTGTGATTCGTATTCATAATGTAAAAAAGAGCTTAGCCGCTAGCTTAGCTTAGCATAATGAATGGAATCCTATGTTACCAGGTAGCATGTCGTGAGTAAAAGTGATAAAAAATGCAAATAATTACTTTGTGTAGCCTGCTTATTCAAAATGAGCACAAATAGCAATGCAGAATAAGACTAGGTGATTTCCTAGGCAGATTGGTTTGGGACTTGATTAGGGGTGAATCACTCTTTCCACAAAAGTTTTGACTGAATTTTTGAGAATAATCAAATAAATGGAGCCATACAAGACTTAATGATGTTTATAAAAACATAACTGTGTATGGTGTGGGCTCACCAATGCGTGTGTTGGAGATGGTGCTAATAGAGTCGGGTGGGAGGCTAGGGAGAAATGTGCTGGCCTCACTGAGCACTGAGAGTGAGGAGGAGGACTTGTGAAAGACAGGTTCATGTGTGGGCGTCTCCATATTCAGATCAGACCACTCACTACACAAGCTGTCCTGGCTGGAAGACAAAAACACAGAAATACATGTGTATGTGACCATGTATCCTGATAAATGTGTGAAATGATCAGTGCTAAACTCACATGTCAGACAGGGAGGTCTCGTTGGGTGTCAAATGACCACTGTCAGATGCTTCTGGCCCTGAGGAAAGTGTGTTCGTGGGGTCCAGGTCTGCAGATATAGTCATTAGATCTTCCTCTAAAATAAAGGAATAGATCCCCTTAGATTTACACACTTATGTGATCATTTTACTCATTCTCATATTGCTTCAAATCTATATGTCTTTCTTTCTTTCTTGAAGACTTGTGCACAAGTTGTATGTAAGGCTCATATGGGAAAAAGCTGCTTTTGTGTTCCACGAAAGAAGGAAAGCCATACGGGTTTTTAGAACAAGAAAAGGACTGAATAAATGATGAAAGATTTTTTTGTGTGTGTGACATTTTCAAGAGAGTGATCTTGTTTCTTCAAACCTGAAGACTTGGTTGGTTCTAAAATGTTGTGGTCCGATGTTGGAGTCGACAAATGTAGATGTAGAAAGGCTTTTTTTCTCTTAAAAAGGTGAGTAGTTCCTGTCAGTTCAGGCAGGCCAAAGATACTGTCACATGATGTCCATTGATCCACTCTGCGAAATGTTTAAAATAACACTGTATGTTTATGTTAACGTTTTAAAGGCATGTAATACTGCATGTAGAATTTGTGTAGAATAGACTTGGTACCGGTCATCCCCAGGATTGGGAGTATCCCAAAACTCTGCATCTAGTTTTTTGTTCTGCAGTGAGTTCTTAAAGGGAAAAAAACAAGGAGATACAAAGAGAATATGCTGCAAATAAATTCATTTAGTAAATTTGCTTGATGACTCTATGATATCTTTTAATCATAGGGGATTGACTTTCTCTCACGGTAAAAGGAGACAGTCCATCGTATATGGAAGAGTCAGGGCCTGTTGGCAATGACAGAAAAGATGAGCAGGAGAGACCTGGGTGACTGAAGAAAACATCCATCTCCACGGTATGACACGCAGGAGAGGGAGGCAGAGAGACATCCAATGTCACCTACAACACAATCCAGCACCAACTGCACAATGAGTGAGAATTTTCACAAATGTTTGCAGTTTAAAAGTTTGAGGTCAGTAAGACATTTCTTTTTTTTAAAAAAAAAAAAAAGAAAAGAAATTAATGCTTTCATTCTCCAAGTATGCATTGAATTGATCAAAACTGATACTAAAAACAGTTATAATGCTAAAAAAGGTTTCTATTCATATATGAAAAAATGATGTATCATGGTTTTCAGCAGCACAACAGCCTTTAAAGGAGTGGTTCACTTTAAAAAAAACATTTGCTGATAATTTACTCACCCCCATGTTATCCAAGTTGTCCAGGATTTCCAGGATTTTTCTCCATACAATGGACTTCAATGGGAACCAAACGGTTTGGTACCCAATGAAGTCCATTATCTGGAGAAAATTCTGGAATGTTTTCATCAAAAACCTTAATTTCTTTTCGACTGAAGAAAGAAAGACATGGACATCTTGGATGGGATAATGATACATGTTTCTTGAGCACCAAATCGGCACATTAGAATGATTTCTGAAGGATCATGTGACACTGAAGACTGCTGAAAATTCAGCTTTGCCATCACAGGAATAAATTACATTTTTAAAAGATATTCAAATAATATTTCAGTTTATTAAACAGTTTTCTATTCCACAATATTACTGTTTTTACTAGATTTTTGAACACATAAATGCACTTGCATTCAAGTCCTAGATGAGCACTTTAAAAATCTTTTGCATGGTAGTGCAGATTAAAAGTCAGAACAGTATGATTTCGCAAGCTATTATTTAGACTGGCATATATACCTTGCTCTGGGTTTTTTGGAACAGAAATCTGAGAATGATTTGGAGGGGAAAGGTCAAAGCTGCAACTGTCATTCCAACCAGTATGGTCTCTCCATTCATCACCATCTGGGTTGAAACTGGAACGCTGCGGTACAGTAACAAATGTGAATAACCCATTTGTTTTGAGCGGAATGAGAGAAAATGTATTCATTTGTCTGAGTTTAGTGATGAATATGATTCTAATTTGACATTAATCGATAACAAACACTGTAGCTTGGAGAAAAACAGAAATTGCTTTATTTCACAAGATGTAATACCTACAACTACAGTGTAGCCTATACGAGCTCAATCTGTTATCCATGCCCTTTGAAGGTCAAGTCTATTACCTGCTGCCCTTTTTGCCCACTGCCCCATACCACACTGCCCCAGCTGCCAGATAGAGATGTAATAAGAGGGCGCAGCAGGTGACCCTCTGGGCTCGGCTAAAGCGGCTGTGGGCCGGCCGTTCCCATAATGAAATCCACAGATGGTGCTCTCGAAGGCCAAAAAGTAACTGGTTATATAGGATCCTCTTAAACTCCTGCAGCTCCTGTGGACCTAAATAGATCAAAAGGTTACGAAATGCAAATATGAAATATGCTGTGCTGCATGTGTATACTTACAAGATGCTAAAATCACTTTCTCCACCCTTCCAGAGTTCTTCTCATTCTCCACAGATAGCCAGTCTTCTACCAGGAAGAAGAACATGTTGTCTGTCTGTATGTCCCAGACTACCACATGTTGTAAGTACCAGGATGGGTCTAGACCTGGAAAACACAGCAGTTCTTTGTGAATATTTTAAGAAGAAAGACAGAAGCTGTTCACAACCACTGACCTGTGTTGTCATGCCAGATGCGTATTTTCCAGATCTCTCCGAGATTGGCATCTGTTTCAATTTGGAAGTCATCCAGGCTGTTCCTCTGGAAAGCTCCTTCACTTTGAAGGTGACGTGAGCCACTTTTATTCAGACCATACAGGCTAATGCCAACATGTGCAGTGGTACCTGATGAATTCAGATGTTTAATAATGTTGAAAGATCTTGTTTGATGACTTTTATGAGGTCAATAAGACAAGTAAATTAAAAGTTCTACTGACCAGACCCTCTTTTCCAGCCTGTTTTGACAAGAACCCGGTAGGAGTAGCGACCTTTCTGACCACACAGAGGAACCCAACACAGACGCTGACTTTCCAGGTGATCCAGTTTGTGAGCGATAAGACCAACCAGCAGATGAATTAACAGTAAGACTCCACAAACTATTCCCGCCACAGCGTTTCTCACCGGCTCTTCTGACTGGTGACAACAATAATGTTCATCACTGATGTGATATCTACAGTTTTTACATGAATTAATAACTGTGTAACCTTCAAATGGTCTTCGTTTCCTGTTTACATTTCTGGGCTGCGGGGTCTATACGATCCCAACAATTGATTGAGTAATTGTACAAAAAAATATACATTTTTAATCATACAAATAATATATCATTTTTTTGTTTACTTCTCATCTATTCATTAATGCTGTGTTTTTGGAGATATAAAGTACTTTTGTATCCATATACCACAATTCCTCAACTACACCATTAGCTTTAGCATATGAAATATTTTTTTTTTATGATACATTCCATTTATGCTCTAGTACTAGGCCTTCATTTCTGTGTAAAAACTTTCAGATTTAAGCCGGATTTTTTTTTTTTTTAAACACATGAATAAAATATATTAGGGTTTTTTTTTTTTTCACATTTCCCATTCATTTCAATGTGGGGTATATTGATCCCGAAGACCAGAAGTCTATACATTTTAAAAAGGCATATTGACGTATGGTCAAAAGACGAATCAAGCCCAGTTTTTTTTTTGTGATGAGACCGGGTTGTATAGATAGATAATGTATGAAAAGTCAAAGTAAAAGTCGATTGGGGTCGTATAGACCCCATGACCCGATTGAGGGCTACAAGTTTGGGGTCGATAAAATTTTTTAATGTTTTTGAAAGGATGTTTGCTTTTTCTGCATACACTTCTATTGCTAACACACCCACTGACAATTACAATAATTTCAGTAAATAAATATAGTATATAATATGGACTGCGGTTAAAAAGTTTGGAGTCTGTAAGATTTTCTAATGTTTTTGAAAGCAGTCAAATATGCATTTATTTCTTCTAAAACAATAAAATAATATGATAAAATAATTGTATTATTATCAATGTTGAAAACAGTTGTGCTGTAAATAGAAAGTTAAAAAAAGAACAGCATTTTATTTGAAATATAAACTTTTTGTAACAATGTAAAAGTCGGTTTCACTTTATTTTAATAGTCCCTTTAACACATTCTGTTGACTATAAGTAACGTTGCACCTACATCTCTACTAACTCTCATTAGAGTGTTAGTAGAGTATTAGTACACTGGTAGGGTTATATCAAGGGTTAGGGTTAGAATAAGTTGTCATACTTGCAAAATTACTTATAGTCTGTAGAATGTCTGTTGGAGGATCATCACAATAAAGAGTTATCAGATGTTAAGCAGACAGTCTACTAATAATACTCTAATGAGAGTTGACATGTAGTTGCAAAGTTAATTATAGTCAACAAGATTGTTCAAAAGGGACCATCAGAATAAAGTGTATCAAGTCTTGTCACTTTTGATTTATTGAATGTATCCTTGCTGAACAAGAGTAACGATTTCTTCTTTTTTTTATCTTATTGACCCCATGCTTAATGGTGAAATGATGTTATATTTTTAAGTAGAAATGGCATACAGGTGGCAGCAGTAGAAGTGCCTCAGGGTGGATGAAGAGGCTGGCTCCAAACATCGTGAGGTGATGGGTGAGGCAGTGGGCAGTGTGTGGGCTGCTGCCGTTCAGAGGACTCAAGCCATCACTGCTCCAGCGCTTCTCATCAACACTGAAGAACCGGCACATCATGCTGAACACACACACTGAGACGGACATGTCATCCACACTGCTGGTGCTACTGTTCAGCCTCACAAACAGGTCTTTGGCAGAGCCATTCAAGCTGTAAAATTTACAGACACATTTACAATAATCCTATTCCCTATTTTCAATTAAGAAAAACAACAACTTGGATCAGGAAGAACTTACAGTGGTGTAAGGAAGATGGTGTGCTCCAGTGATGGAGTTTCAGTTGAAAGAGAGAGGGTGAGTTTTTGGAAAAGAGTTTGTTCAGACAGTTGATGAACTGGTTGGTCGTCTACATAGATCCTTACTTGTCCAGAGACTTTCTTGCCAGCTCCTGCTCGACAAATACAAAGCACAGGCTTTCTAGATACTGCTAAAACATTTTTACATTGCTAAAATATGATATTACCTTTTTTGCGTTTTTACTTGAGTTTATTTTTCTTCCTCATTTGCTAACACTGAGACCCACTAGCCAAGACAATTCAATATAATATACACTACCATTCAAAAACTTTTGTTTTTGAAAGAAGTCTCTTATAATCACCAAAGCTGCATTTTCTTAAGTAAAAAGCACGATCCTCTAGATATCATTTTAATATTAATAATATCATTTTAATATTTTGGTGCCAAAATCTCTTATTATTATCAATGTTGAAACCAGTTGTGCTGCTCAATATTTTGTTGTAAACCATATTTTTTCAGAATATTTAATGAATAGAATGTTCAAAAAGACAGTATTAATTAGAAATAAAAATCCTTTGTAAAATTATAAATGTACTTACTGTCAGCTTTTATCAACTCAATGCATCCTTGCTGAATAACAGTATTAAGTATTATTTCCTTTTTTAAAAAGTCTCAGACTTTTGATGATTCAAATGCATCGTTATATTGAGTTTGTTCAAACAGTGGATATACAGTATTATATTATATTATATTATATTATATTGAAGTCTTATAAGATGCATTGGCGGCTCACTACCTGGGATGAGACTGAAGTTTAGGGCAACATAGAGTCCAGTCTGAGGATCTGTATCCATTGCTTTGACTGTGAAATGTACACTTCCCTTGGATGGCAGAGTAAAATTTTTCCATTGTAACCTCTCATCTTCTGTGTCTTGTACTTTTTTGTGTAAAGTAAATTGTATCGCAGTGTCTTGTGTCAGGTTGGCGATCGAAATGGCCTTCCCCTGTGACGTAGCAAACTCCATGGCTGCGAGCGTAGTCGTAATAGGAGGTTCTGCAGCTGGAATGAATGGATTTTCTTCACCCTCCATTTCCAGAAGGATTTGCAGGACCTCTTGCTTTTCCTCCTTCAGTTGAGAGCTCAGCGCTGATGGGATGTGAAACTGGCAGTGGCTTTGAGGATCTGTGCACAGAAGGTCTTTAGTAGGATCACCCCGTACGCCCACCACACTGATCTTTGGAACGGCGAGGGACAGAACTTCTTCCCCACTCATCCGCGACAACATTAATGAGCGCATGAGCTCTAAAATCTGCTCCAGTGCTGATACAGCTGTCTCTGATGTATCCACATGCTTGAGGCCTGAATTGGTTCTCTGCCTCTGATCAGCAGTCAGTGTGCTGCCTGCAGGGAAAATGTAAGAATGGTTAAGCCACGGTTCATTTACAACTTCAGAACGAACCTCTATTATCACGCTGAATATGAATTCTGCTTTACTTAAAACAGCCAGAATGTTCCTGCCGCTGTCTGTGGGGTTGATGTCACCCGCTCCTGTTTGTTCTCTTATCACTTTAATCATCTTCTCTGTGGCCTTCAGAACCTTTGCATGGCAGCCGTTGCACTGCCATTCAGATGGAAACACCTGCAGACAGGAAAGTACATTTTCTAGTACATAATTTGCATTTGTAACATCACAACGCTTTGTTCTTAGGCCGCATAAGGGGACTTTCTGTATTCCCAGCACTCCTCATTACACAAAGCAGGCAATCTGTATTCAGTGATGAGCCTTTGCCACGTGTCACAGTGCTGGACGTACAAAAAGTTGCTGACATGCTTTGTGTCAAGCTATGATTAGTGCTATACTTTCCATGAGCTTTAATAGTTGAAAGCCTTACTGTAGACTGGGCTAAAGCTGAGCTGATCAGAGCCGCATCCTGTAATGAGGAGACCGGCAGAGACGCCAGAGCCTGAATCACATTTCCACGGATCTGAATCTTGTCCTCCAACTCTTGAGCACTGACGGATGCTAGCTGTGGAAGTGGATGATTTTGATTTAAAAACACATGTCTAATGGTCTGACACACCATCACTGAAACTGAAGGTGCACTCTGTTATTTTTATGGCAGTTGTGTTGGACTGACATCTAGTGGTGTGGATGCAACAACACACAAAGCTAATATTATAAGTAACTGAGACATTGTAGAGACATGCTACTTTGATACATCTGTTTGACTCTGTAAAGTCAGTAAAGCCTTCAAACTTTTATAATTCATTTATCTGAATTTTATGGCACAAAACAAATGTGCCACATGCGGCCAGTCATAATTACTTTTTTCTAGTGATGTAGTACTCGAGTCTGGTCTCGGACCACAGTGGGAGGAGAAGGACTCATAATTTTCAGACTGAGTCCTCAAGATTTTTTTTTTTTTTTAAACATCTTGGATGCCCTTGAGGTAAGCTAAAACATACCAAAAATTATTTTCAAAGTAAACTATCCCTTTAAGACGTTAAGACGACTGCTCTAAACAATTCCCAATCTAGCTTAGTCTGTAGGCCTAACTGTTGATTATTAACTGGTGTGATATTAAATCATGAATAACAAAACTGATATGTCAGGACAAAATCTCGACTCAGACTTGCTTCCTTAAAGACTCGATCTAGACTTGGACTCGACTGTATTTGAAAACCAACGGACTCGGTCTCCACTCGGACTCGACCCTTCAAAGACTCGGTCTTGACTGGGACTCGACTGTATTTGAAAACCAACGGACTTGGTCTCGACTCGGACTCGACCCTTCAAAGATTCCGTCTTGACTCGGACTTGATTGTATTTGGTAAACCAATGGACTCGGTCTTGACTCGGACTCGACCTTTCAAAGACTCCGTCTTGACTCGGACGCGACTGTATTTGAAAACCAACGGACTCGGTCTCGACTCGGACTCGACCCTTCAAAGACTCCATCTTGACTCGGACTCGACTGTATTTGAAAACCAACGGACTCGGTCTTGACTCGGACTCGACACTTTAAAAACTCGGTCTTAGACTCGGACTCGACTATATTTGAAAATCAACGGACTCGGTCTCGACTCGGACTCGACCCTGCAAAGACTCGGTCTTGATTCGGACTCGACCCTTCAAAGACTTGATCTAGACTCGGACTCGACTGTATTTGAAAATCAACGGACTCGGTCCCGACTCTGACTCGACCCTTCAAAGTCTCAGTCTTGACTAGGACTCGGCATAGGCGGTCTCGTCCCCATCTCTTTTTTCCCACAAGAGCAAAGGTGTCCAATAAAAGGTGAATAAAAAAGGTCAACTGAGTACCCCTCTTTGTTGGTTTGTTGGTGACCCACTCTTTATTTCACGGAAGTGTGCATGATTTATCCATCTTATCCATTCGGTTTTGAATTTGGAAAATACTGAGTGCACCTTTTTAAAAATATGCAGACAGTTGGTTTGACAGTCTCAGTTACCTGGTTGAGTTGGCTGGTCAAGGCAATAGAATATTGGATAATGTCCTGAGGATTTCCTTGTTGAAGCAAGGCCCAAAACTCTGATTGACTCTTATTCCTCAACCACTCCATTGTGCAGTGGTCACACAGCATCACTGTCAGGTTCCTGCAGAAGATATCCAGTATTATTTTGGTGCTATGATGTGCTGGCAAATTGTATCTGAAAATAAAATTGCCAATGTCTGACTAACTTCCTTGCTGCAATGACTGAAGCCCCCATACTGTCCTCTACCAGCACCAGCATGTGAACAACAGATATGTTTTCCACTGTATTCGGACTACCCAGCGGCACCATGGAGGCGAACGTACTCTGAGTGCCTCTGTAAAGGGAAATCAAGGGACATAATGGTCCAAAATCTTCACACTGTGCCACCTGCAGCGAAAATATCAGCTGAGCTGAGTCACCGTCATCATCCATCCACCCTGCCATTGAGAATGAAATAGCAAAGAATGTGTCAATCTGCAGAGCCATTACTTGGGTGAGAAATAAGAGCAGAAGAGAGATGACACTACCTGAGCAACTGTAAGAGACCATAGTTTCCAGGAAATTAAGCGAGCCGTCTGGTGACAGAGTGCAAATACCCCCGTAGGGAGGATGGTTGGGGACTAAGGTGATGCTTGCCGACCCCCAAAGCCCAGAGGCTGGCTCAGACACGTTGACAGTAAAGGTGTATTCTTGGCTCTCCATTAGCACCCCTGGTTTAATGACTATTTCTCTCCAGAGACTTCCTTTCGAGGTAGTGACCTCATTCAGTGTTAAAGTTTCACCTCTCTGATTCTCTGCAGTCCACCTGTACTGTAGTTAAAGTGTTTTTAAAACATTACTAAGGTGTGCGTAAGACTTATGAAGGCATATGAAGTTATTCTATGTTACGTTGGGAAGTGAATACCTGTACAGTGTCTTGACATGAAGAACAATGGCCAGTCAAGGCAACATGGAGCCTGTGACTCGTGTATGACAACGGTGAATTACATGAGACACACTTTACAGTCACGGGCAGCAACGCAACATTATAGACTTTAACCTTGAAATAATAAAAATACAATTAAAGACATTAGACAAACATAGTTTTCTTTCCTGTGTTGACATTTTTTTAATGAACGGGTGACTTATTGTTGGTCAAAAAGCTCCTTGAATAGCTTTAAGAGATCACACAAAAATGAAAATTCTATTATCATTTACTCACCCTCGTATCATTTCACCATTAAGACTTTCATTAATCCTCAAAATGCAAATAAAGTTTTTCTCATCGTTTTTGTCCATTCACTAAAAGTCCACGCAACTAAAAGATTATGCATCAAAAATTTCAAAAGATATTGTAAAATTAATCCATATTAATTGATTGGGCTTTCATTAAAGATTTGGGGTTTAGCATATTTGATGGGCTCTATGTAAGTGTGTTGATTATAGGCTACATGAATAAAAGCCTAAATTAAAGCGGTCTGTCATATAAAGCAATCTTGAGGCTTCAGAAGACTAGGATTAAACCGCTCAAATAATATGGATAAATTAATGTCTTTTTTTGTACTTTTTAGGCCACCTCACACCGACAGATGCCAACAGACTTCATCTGGTTTTGTTGGATTAGTGATTAGAGTTTTTTTTTTTTCATCTTTTTTGTTCAAAATGTTTGTTTGGTTTTTTTTTAATGAAATTTACCCACATTCAAGTATTGATAAAAAATAATTCCTAGAAGAAGAAAACATTTTTTTTTTTTTTTTTTTGTCTAAAAGCAGAAGCTCTGTGGAATTTTTGTGAAAATGGTCAAAAGCGCTGGTGGTGGCTGGTTTGGCACGATATGTGGATATGTGTAAATGATGACAGAGTATTCATGACAAATACATTCCTTGTGAACTGCTAAAAGCAATGTGAAGTAAAATAAGTTAACATTCACCGACTGTGATATAGAGACAGGTTGTCTTCCATTTTTGTAAAGGTTGAGAGTAAAGTGGTACACTCTGTCTGGCAGAAGTGCACTTCTGGGAAGAAACAGCATACTACCATTTACTGGAATATGATAGTGAAGGGTGGAAACGGCTGAAGACATTGCTGTTGTGTTCTGGAAGCAGAGAATACATTATCAATAGAGTGTTCACCAGCAGTGATGAAGAATTTACTGCATTTGTAATTTACTGTACCTCTATAGTGTAACTCCACTGGAACTGAAACAACTCCATATTATTCTCCTCTGAATCTGGATCAAAAGACTCCATTGCATCCAGTATCAGATCATAATGAGTTGACCAGAACCTGTGAGAACCACCTTTAATCACGGGCACCAGCTGACTGTGGACCACGTTAAGCTTTATGGACCGATTCTGCTTTAGAGGAGTTCCCTGAAGTCTAGCAGTAAATGCCAGACAGTAGTTTCCCACTTTTAGTGTGTGCTTTGGCAGAGAAAGAAGAGGTGTTGTAACATCCACTGAATCATTTAAGGCCACCTTGTCTATTCCTGAGCAATCTTGTCCCCTGAAGATCTCCCAGAAATATGATGCTTTGTATGTAAAGCAACCATTAAAGTCCACTCGTGCTTCAAAGAAACTCTGTCTGGATTTTAATATTTTATATTGTTCTTTTACAATGTAAATTAGTGGCTGGGTACACTCCAGCTCTTGTACTTTAATTGACTTTTGAGTAGAGATCTCACTTATGTTGTTGAAAACTGTTAATTTCACCACAAACTCACCAGTAGTATTAAATTTGTGGACTTGTCTATTGGATTCTGTAACCAGGGCTCCATCATTGGCATCAACGAAATCCCAGATGAATTTAAGGTTGCTGCCTCCATCTGTCATGGCTTCAAAAGTGATCGGATAATCAATAAAAGCTCCATCATGGGAGGTAAAAATCTCCACTTTCTTCACATTCTTCTGTATTGTTGCTGTACTGGTCAGGGACTGTGAGCAAAAGCCATTATCAGCTTTCACTGTAACAGACAGGGATCCATTAGTAAAAGGTGTGAAGTGAACATTTTGCCCAAATTCCCAAGAGGACTGAACTCCATTTAATAGGAAAGTCCAGTGGTAATTGGCTTGTGAGTCACTGGATGCTTGAAAACTTATGTTTTTGGATGCCTCTAGGACAGCAGAGCAACATCCGATCAAATGCAGACCTTTAATTCTTTCCACGACTCTCACGATAACTGTTGCAGTTTGGGAACTGACATTATTTTTTGCTTTTGTTCTCACCAGATGTTTTCCGACTGAAAGTGAAGAGGTTGTAAAATTCTGCCCAATATCCATGGAATAATTTGCATGAACAAACTCCAAAGAAAACGAAACTTCACTTCCTTGGGAGATAGAGGGTGAGAAAATAACCATATCGCCCTCACAAACAACATCACTGCTTGCCGTAAGTAAAAGTCCCTGGATGGCATCCTGGACCACAAGAGGGTATGAAACATTTTGCCAGCTAATGTTGTTTGAAGCGTTAAGTGAGATCCAGTGTTCTGCAACTTCAGTGAAAGAATAGCTAACGGTTTGATTGTCAGCAAGAACAGTAACACTGTTGTTGTGAAGCGTTAAAACCCATTCCCAGTGTAGGACATTTCCTGTTCCTGCAGAGCCATGGAATAACAGATGGCTATTTGAACTTACGAAAAATGGTCTGAATTGTCCATTTATCTGAATATCCACTTTCGAGATGTCTTCCTGAATTATTAGTTGCTTGGTTGCATTGTCAGACCCGAACACATTCGAGACTGATACTCTGATCTTGACCAAACCGATAACTTTAAAAACATGCAAAACAAAAGAAACATCTGATATTACAGGACTGCGCTCAGAGTCTAAGAACCATGAGTAGTGAAGGTCTGATCCAGATGCTACACTCACAGATATCCTCACTGGGTTTCCTTTAGCTACAGCATTCATTGGTGATGAAATACTCAACCCAGACACTCGCTCTACTGCTCTCAGTGAAAGTTCACTATCTACTGATCCAAGAGCATTGGATACCACCAGTCTGATGTGTATATCACCAGGGCTGTTTGCAACAAGTGGAAACTGTTTGCTATAACTTGCAGTTGTGTTAATCCAACTTTGGTTTGTAGTCCACTCATATGTCAAGTTAGAACCACATGTCACTGATGCCGTCAACAGTACAGTCTGATTTGTCAGGACATATCTTGTAGACCGCAGTTCCTGACATTGAATTCGAACTCCATGTATTCTCTCTACAACTTCAATGTCCGTTATGCTTTCTAATCGACTGACAAGATTTTGTGCAGCAACTTTAATCCGAAACACCCCTGCTTTAGGAAACACATACATAAATGTGGATGTCCAGGCTTTGGAGGTAATAAAGAATCTACAGTCCAGTAAAACACAACATTTTCATTAACATCAGTCTGAGCTATTAGCAGTGTCTCTTTTCCAGCCTCTACAATTGGCTGATTGGTGTTAACCAATAAGGATGACAGAGGTGCCTGCACCTCAATCTCTATAGACACCAAACATGAACTTATAGCATTAGATGCGGTGGCCGTCACACGAAACCGCCCAGGAAAACTGAAAACATGTGACTGATTTTGGCCCTCCTTTTTGTAGCCATCTCCAAAATTCCACTGAAAAGAAGCTGTTTTACCAGCAAGCTCAGCCCAAAAGTAATAGGACTGATTCACAGTCATTGCATCATGGTTCCCTTCATATTTTATGACTAGATTAGATACAGGCCTTTGAACTAAAATGGTTGCTTTTGCTGTTCTGTTGCTGACTTTGTTTTGTATCTGCACTGAAATTTCATACAAACCCTCCTCTTGAAAAACAAAGCAATGGTGCGATTGGCCTTTGACTGGAACCATTTCACTAGAAAGGTTGTTATACCACCAAAACAGATAACCTGGTACTTTGGGAAGCACAGAAACATCAAAGCATATTTCCTCACTCACCGCTACAGCACTCTTGGCTGAATGCAGAGTAACATCTGTTATTTGGGCCTCAACACATATGCTGGTTTCATAATGGACCGAATCCACAAGGCTGTGAGCATTTACAACAACTGTGTAAGTGCCTGAAGTCAGAAAGGTATGAGTGATAGTTGTTGCTCCTTTAACAACAGACAATGGTGTGCCATCTCCAAAATCCCAGTGAAAAGTCAAAAAAGGAATAAAGCCTTTGACTAACACCTCAAAACTAGTCTCTGCTTGACTCAAAATGCAGCCTGTTGGGATAATTTTGCTAATTAGTAAACGATAGACTTCCACATTGACTAACCGGTGTTCTCTACTTGCACGATTATAAGCAGAAACCTCAACGGTGTAATTTCCAGGAGACTTGTAAATGTGAGAGGCTGAGCTTCCAGTGAGATCTTTTAGTATCGAACCATCTCCAAATTCAAAGGTCCATTTTAGATGAGTGCCTGTAGACACTCTGCCACTGATTTCAAAGGTGCTGTTCAGTTCAATGGAGCCATTGTAATTTAACTGGAGATCTGAGACAGCCTCAGCTACCTCCACTGCTGTATAGTTAGTCAAGACTGTCAAGGAGTTGTTGGCACTGATGGTGACGTTGTATGTGCGGGCCTTTTAAAAACATGCCTGACTTTACTGGAATGTTGTTTCACTTTATCAGAGTCATCGTCAAAATTCCATACATAAAGTATTCCGTATGAAGAAGGCCATAGCGAGACCTCAAAGAGGATGGTGTGGTTGACTTGACAGACAGTAGGAGATGATGACACCAGCAGTCTTGATATTGGAGTCCTTATTTTTATGGTTACAGCCTTTTCAATTTGGTCATATTTGTTATAAGCCTTTATTTTCATTGTGTAGTCACCTAAAAAGAAAAATTGTATGAAATTTTAGCATGTAATATTTCCCCCCCAAGGCATAGACACTTAAAAGTGCACTCATTAATTGGGTTTATTACAATAACAAGGGAAAAAAAACTGACTGATGCCACTGTAGCAATGCTCAATTAAAATTATTACCAGTACCTGGAAAAGAAAATGTATGATTGGTAGAGTCTTGCAGATAGATATGTTTGGCACTTCGGTGAAGATAGCTGTCATCCATCTCTAAAGGAGCAGAAATTGCGTGACTGACAGATGCAGTATTATCACCAAAATCCCATCTGGAGAGATAAATCATTTCATAATATCATTATACATTCAGAAGAGGTCAAACTTATTTTCATAATTCTAATTCAATTACAATTCAGAGGCATTAACCTGATTGTAACGCCTATAGAAATGTCAGCTTTAACTTGAATTTTGTAGACAGTTGAGGTGTTTACAGCAATGGCCTCTGGTAGGGAAATTACTGCTAGGTCAGCTAATGGGGTCATTACATCGGCTGTGAGCTTCACCTCAATTAACTGAGAGCTCACAGGGTTATTTGCCATTACCTAGAGCAGAAAAAGCAGTAAAGATTTGAAGAAATTCGAAAAAATGAATTCATTCATGACAAAACCTAGCAACCTAAGCAATGACTATCAATTGGTGGGTCGTGACTTCAAATTGGGTCACAGTTCCAGGCATTGACAGCAGGAAAACAACAATGCTGGATGCAAATAATAAAATGCAACCAACCACATAATCATGCTTAAATTGGACAACAATTGTATATACTTTTAAAAGAGAGGAGAATGTTTTACACAACTTTTGTTGTTGACATCAAAGGCTGTGCACCCAATTGGAACTATACGCCTTATTCACGGCAGCGCCATCTTTGATTTAATGAGAATGAAAGCGAGGCTGTAAGGGATAGACTTGCATCTCTTCAATGGGATGTATTGTTATTTAATGTGTTTTCGGATTGTTCTGCTCATGAAACACTGGAAAAATATCTTTCTAAGAAATGTCAGTTGACAAAAAACTCCCGACAATGTGAGCTGTGGAAAATTGTAAGTAATCTAGCTGCTTTATTCAGCTTTTTACAGCGGATGCCATTGAAAACACGGTAAGTCTATCCCTCACAGCCTCACTTCCATACCTGTCATGGCGCTGCTCTGAATAAGGTCTATTTCCACTTGAAACAAAGATAAATATGGATTGTGCAACTATAATACCTAAAATGGAGTGCAGTAAGCATGAACCCCTTGTAATTCAAGGGACATTTACAAAATAGGCAAACTATAAACACAAGCCAATCTTAATGTTACTAATTTGACAAATAATGTTGCATTTGTTACAAGGTTTTCAGTTCTGCGTGCAGTTAATTGTAATATTAACACATTTTGTAAAACATTTTGATTTGAAGAATCATATTTATTTTTATTTAAAACTAGCAAGGAACTAAAACCTAAAACATTGTACCACTCTCAGAAAAAAAGGTACGAAAGCTGTCACTGGGGCAGTACCTTTTCAAAAGGTACACTTTTGTACCTAAAGGCATATTGGTGCATACCTTCATGGTACATATTTGTACAATTATGGTACCAATATGCACCCTTTAGGTACAAAAGTGTACCTTTTTGAAAAGGTACTGCCCCAGTGACAGCTTTTGTACCTTTTTTTCGGACAGTGAAAAGGTCCGAAATATACTTTTAAAAGAGAGGAGAATGTTTTACACAACTTTTGTTGTTGACATCAAAGGCTGTGCACCCAATTGGAACTATACGCCTTATTCACGGCAGCGCCATCTTTGATTTAATTTAAAAGTATATACTTTTAAAAGTATATACTGTGCCTAAAGCAAAGCAATGCATTGCTTTAGGCACAGTTTCACAAAAGGGTTTAAACTAACTTGTATTTAGAAATATCGACATGTTTACCTTTAGTTTGTATGCTGCTGGTTTTTTAAAAAACACACTGTAAGACTCTCCTATGTGTGTAAACTGGACCAGGTCATCAATAAACCAAGTATACTTCACTGATGTGCCAGTGACTACTGAAGCTGTAAACAACTGTAGGGGGAAAAAAGAAAAGGAAAAGGTAAGCCCCCTAAATCAATTAAAGTCTAGTTATGACATTCTGAAAACCTTTTCTTCAAATACCATGTAAATATCATTAGCACATCAAATTCTAAAAAGGTTACTGACAAACATTTCACAAAGTCATTGCTATACCTGTGGTATGTCCACTAGAACTCTGCTGAAGCCCTGAGGCTGGATGCTCAGCCCAGTGACAGGAATATGAGAAACAACTCTCACACTCAGAGTCTGGAAGTTCAAGCTGTTTGAAGCCATGATGTTTAGTGTATGTTCCCCTTGACTAGAAAGCTCCACATACACATGGGAGAACCACGTGTCAAGAGAAGCCCTAACACATCCTCCTTCGATCTCAGGCATCTCAGCCGGGCAAGAGGATTCAAAAGGAACTTTATTCTTAGACACAGGGTCCGACCAGGAACTGGTTGCGTTTCCACCTGAAAGGATCTGGATGACAATGAGAGCTGGGATATTGACTACAACATGCATTTGGTTGTCCTTGTCAAGTTTTGGATGCAAAACTTGCAACCCTGTGACAGGATTGTTGCTCTGTGAGGTGCTGGGTATTGGTGAAACTCCATTGTGTGGCATTGTGTCCTCGTAAATCACCCGTAGGTCACAGACCAGTCCATCTAGCCATTGGCCCTGTCTCAATTGGGCAGACACAGTCCCCTCTAACCAGCCCCCCCACTCAGGCCCGTGCATGGAGAGGTAACTCTGGCGCCAGGCCGAGCTGGTACCGGCAACACAGTGTAGAAATTCACCAGCTCTTCTAGTGTGCTGCAATGCCAGAATGTCATCAGGATAGACAGTGATATGTTTGTCTTGGACTATGACCTGCACAACAAAATAAGTGTCTTTGGTTAAAAAAAATATATATAATCACAATTTATTTATTAATGTAGTAATTATAATTCATTTTTTGCACAATATTTGCATTATGATGGTTTTCACAGTAATTCTTGATTCTGATTGGTTAACTGCGGCATTTAGTGGACAGATATTTCCTAAAACACTGAAACTTGAGCCGAACCTCCTTAGAAGTCAAATATTTACTACCCCCCGAAGATTTAAAGTATTTCAATAATTTAACGTCACATGTTCACAGTTCTCTGATGTAGATGTATTGTCACACTGGTGATGTTCGTGGCATTATGATGCTGAAATCACCGGATCATTCGACGCTCGCGTGTTGCTCTTCACTCTGAAATACGCAACTGACTATACACTAATTTAATTAAATGGAAGCCTTTGGTTTGATAATTAAACAAAATATGGCAATTTCAGTATTATTTCAATTAATTGTGCACAGCACCCCCCTTTTATTTGTTATATATTTTACATTTGATTTAAAGGAGTAGTTCACTTTTAAAATACTTTTGCTGATAATTTACTCACCCCCATGCCATCCAAGATGTCCATGTCATTCTTTCTTCTTTTTTCTCAATATAATGGACTTCAATGCGAACCAAACGGTTCAAGGTCCAAAAGACAAACTACAAACTGTTCGAATGGCTTTAAATGATTTCTGACGATGAATAAGGGTCTTATCAAGCGAAATGATCGCTCATTTAAAAGGAAAATAACAAAGTTTAAGTTTTATAAGCTCAAATGGTCGCCTTGCTCTGTTCTGTGATGCGCATTCGTGACTCTCCTGTTCGAACTCGTTCATGACTCGAATCTTTTCCCGAGTCAACTTGTTGACATGAAGTCAACCAAATGACATGAAGAAAAGATTCGTTCATTTTGATAAACGAGTTCGAACAGGAGATCGTCTGGAATCGTTTAAAGCCCTTTGAACAGTTTGCAGTTTGTACTGAAACTGTCTTTTGGACCTTTAACCGTTTGGTTCCCATTGAAGTCCATTATATGGAAAAAAAATCCTGGAATGTTAAAAAAACTTAATTTCTTTTCTACTGAAGAAAGAATGACGTGGATATCTTGGATGACATGGGGGTGAGTAAATTATCAGCAAAAGTTTTTTTTTTAAATTGAACTACTCCTTTAATGTTCTCATGAACCACCATTTTGGAAACCCTGCACGGAGTATCCGGTAACAAGAATTTTATACAGAATCTAGCATGTTCGATAGTGAATATGACCTCAAAGAATTTCCGCCTAATATTACTGTAATATTGTTACAGTGCTTGTCTTGTTGCTAGGCCATTTTTCTTTGCGAACCAACATTATTAAATCATTGGGAAAAAAAGTTTTTAAATGATGAACAAGTCAAGAATTGCCACCTACACTGATGTGTGTGAGGTCAGTGCTTGCTGGCAGTGTCAGTGACATGTCTGCCATCAAGTGGAAGAATGGTGGTGTCGCAGGGTATCGGGGAGGCAGAGGGAATTCATGCCCCCCCATAAAGGAGTGGTAAGGACTGCACGGGCTGGTGACGGGCAGACAGATCTCCAGCAGGTGACACCAGTACTGCCCACTGACACAGCCACCAGTGGTGTTACACATGGGCGTCAGTGAACAGCAGCTGAAAGGGTTCAGGAGAGAACTACAGCCTAAGAGAGAAGGTGTTTCATAAAATGTACCTCTTGAATTGATCACTTTACAAACTGGGAACAAATTAGGCTATGTGTTGCTCATTAGTGGTTCATTTGCTCACCTGGTGGTACTAGGTGATGATTCGGGCTGCAGTACGGCCGTAAGATTTGCACTCTAGCAAAGGTTAGCTGATCACTTGGCTGAATCAACAAATCCAAAGATAGCACTCGACCTTCATGGGTGAACCAAAGACCTGGGAACAACATAATCTGTACACACAGATGCTTCATTTCAAAATAGGTGTGTATTAACTTGCAAATTTTAAAATGAATGTACAGAATGTTCATAGAATGATTCAAAATTTCAGAAATTCGCAAATTTGCATGACCAATAAAACATTAAAGGGACTATACATATGAATTTCGATGTATTAAGCGATTTTTATAGCCAATGTGTGAACAGCTTGTAATGAAACATAAAAATAAATAAAAAAACGAGACATTTCCTGACTTCCTAAAGCCTGTTGACTTGTGTTTATGTGCAGGACTCGGGACGTTTTTGCTGGGAGAATCAAAAGGATGTGACGTTTACACACGCTCCTAAGACCCTTGAAACGAATGCTTACACAATGTTCAGGTAATGCCAAAAGAGCTATTCTGTACTGTAATGACAATGTCTCATGCAAAGAAAATGGGTTAAAGGAGTGGTTCACTTTTAAAAAACTTTTGCTGATAATTTACTCACCCCCATGTCATCCAAGATATCCATGTCATTCTTTCTTCAGTCGAAAAGAAATTAAGGTTTTTGATGAAAACATTCCAGGATTTTTCTCTATATAATGGACTTCAATGGGAACCAAATGGTTCAAGGTCCAAAAGACAGTTTCAGTGCAAACTGCAAACTGTTCAAAGGGCTTTAAACAACTTCAGACTATGAATAAGGGCCTTATCAAGTGAAAGGATCGCTCATTTAAAAAAAATAACAAAGTTTTATAAGCTCAAATTGTTGCCTTGCTCTGTTCTGTGATGCGGGTTCATGACTCTCCTGTTCGAACTCCTTCATCAAAATGAACAAACTTTGTTCAAATTGAGCAAGGCAACAATTTGAGCTTATAAAACTTAAACTTTGTTATTTTTTTTTTTTTAATTAGCAATCGTTTCACTTGATAAGTCCCTTATTCATTGTCTGGAATCGTTTAAAGACTTTGAACAGTTTGCACTGAAACTGTCTTTTGGACCTTGAACCGTTTGGTTCCCATTGAAGTCCATTATATGGAGAAAAATCGTGGAATGTTTTCATCAAAAACATCAATTTATTTTCCACTGAAGAAAGAAAGACATGGACATCTTGGATGACATGAGGGTGAGTAAATTATCAGCAAAAGTATTTTTAAAAAGTGAACAACTCCTTTAATTTATAGTCTCAAATATCTCAAATCCTACTTTAGAATTCTAACAGTCTAATTTTAAATAGCTCATCTTTCCACATGATGCTGGTGAATTGCAGAGTTTATGCAAACATATCCACAACGCTACAATCAGATGCTTAACTGCTGTTTTCTCAACGCTGTTATTTTGCTATTTTGCTGTATGTCTATTTTGTTATTGTGGGCAAAGCAACACATCACATATTTAAATATCAGCAGCATGTACTGTATGGTGTCTGGATATTTGTTAACAGTTTATCGCTGCAAAGGTATTTCCTACCATTTATGTCTAGCAAAGAACAAAAAAGAACTTTGCAGGCATTGAATAATGTTCAGTCTCAGCTTGTACATCACATGTTCATGGTACAAGAAAAGAAGTTGCTTTCTGCAATTCACTTAACGGCCACAGTTGTCGCTGATAACAAGGGTTTCTGAATTCTAGCCCCTTTAAAACTGAACATAATGTACATTTATGCTAACTTAAAAAAGCTTTTTTTAAGAAACCCATTATCACTTTTATTCAGCAAGGTTGCATAAAATTGATCAAAAGGACAGTAAAGATTTGTATGCTCCAAAAGATTTCAAATAAATGCTGCTTAACTTTATTTTTTAAAATATATTAAAATAGAAAAACAATTTTAAACAATATTACTAATTATACCGTATCGTTGGTCAAATAAATGCAGCCTTGGTGAGCAAAAACAACATAACATGAAAAAAAAATCATACCAACCTCAACTTTTAAACATAGCTTAGCTTTAACAGTCTTATTTCTTATTAGCATAAAAATGTTAGCTACATAATTTATTGGCTTAAATTGTAGATCCCTTGATTAACAATTTAATAAGCTAATTGTTTTTTTTTTTACCTCAACCATGTGTGATCCTGGGTCTGGTGGAGAGGGTAGCAGTTGTATCTGGGACACTGTGTATATTCCTGACATTAGTGGCACACCTGTCACGTAGCTTCCCAGCGATGGCAAAGACACTTTAAAGAGAAAATGGATGACAATGCTGTCAGGTACGAGCTCTGACAAAGGTTTTGCAGCATGGCTTAGATTAACTGAATGTGAGCTGTAAATAACCCTGTAAACAAATGTCGCTGATATTGTCATGTGCTTTGTCACCCAAATGAAATCAAAATAGACTATTCTTGTTTTTGTATGGAATGTTGTAGTGTTATTATAAATGATGTATCTGTGCACATCATTATTTATTTTTTTTGTCCTCATAATCTTTAATCAAAATAACTTCCCCTCCCTGTTGCAATGACATCTCATCTCTTTTTTTTATGATGATGGTTTACTGGTGCAAGTGCGGGACAACCTTTCACTATTACATTAATAGCAAACACAATGATCCAACGATCCAATCAATTCTCAATGAAAAAATCAAGCCCCCGCATATCTTCTTGTTTGAGAAAATATTTAACTCTGATATAAGGCCAATTCACACCGCACAAACAAACACCAATAACCAAGTTGGCCATTGGATTTAGAATTTCATGTCTGTCACGTTCACATTGCCCCAACAGACACTGACAAATGCTGACATGTTCAGTCTGGAGAAAACAAACCCCAACCGACGAGAGCAGATGCCGACGCACTGATCCAACAAAACCCAACAAATACTTGGGTAATATGAATTAGCCTATACGTCACAAGAAAAGACTATCGCTATACTGTTTCATGCTGACTTAAAACTAAAAGCAAACTATACTGTAATACTAAAAGTATTTTAGGTCATCTTCAGCCATATCATGCTGTTTTCAGTAATTATGAATAGGCTAAACCACAGTTTTTTAGTGATGAGAGAAAAATACGTTTTGGTCACATTTTAGATTAGGATCCAATTCTCACTAGCTATTAACCATATGGTTATGCGTAAGTAAGGCATTAAAGGAGTAGTTCACTTTTCAAAAAAACCTTTGCTGATAATTTACTCACCCCCATGTCATCCAAGATGTCCATGTCGTTCCTTCTTCAGTCGAAAAAAATTAAGGTTTAAGTTTTTAAGTTCAAAAAGAATGCCCTGTTCTGTGATGCGCGTCCGTGACTCTACTATTCTAACTCGTTCATCAAAATGAACAAATCTTTTTCCGAGTCAATTCGTTCATTTTGTTCGTTGAATTAAACAAATGACACGAAAAAAGGATTCGTTCATTTTGATGAACGAGTTTGAACAGGAGAGTCATGAACGTGCATCACAGAACAGAGCAAGGCGACCATTGCTTACTGTATAAAACTTAAACTTTGTTGTTATTATTATTTTTTTTTAAATGAGTGATCGTTTCACTTGATAAAACCCTTATTCATCGTCTGGAATCGTTTAAACCCCTTTGAACAGTTTGCAGTTTGCACTGAATCTGTCTTTTGGACCTTGAACCGTTTGGTTCCCATTGAAGTCCATTATATGGAGAAAAATCCTGGAATGTTTTCATCAAAAACCTTAATTTCTTTTCGACTGAAGAAAGAATGACATGGATATCTGGTGAGTAAATTATCAGCAAAAGTTTTTTTTTTTTAAAAAGCGAACTACTCCTTTAATATGCGCTTTATAAGTACCAAATAAACAGCCAATATCCTAATAATATGCATTCCAATAAGCAACAAGTTAATAGCGAGAACTGGACCTTAAAACAAAAATGTTACTGTTGCTTTGAATGTGCAAAACTGTTGTGGGAAGGTGTGGATGATTATTGGTCCAGTCTTTGATGATAATTTAGATCATGTGTATCATTGGGTTAAAACAGTTCATTAGCTTGCTTACCTGATATCTCTTTCTCACAGATAATGAAATTTCCCTTATCACATTGTTCATTCGTCCATTGTCCAGAGGCCAGATCCATTGTGGTACATTCCTTCATCTCACTGTCTTCAGTATCTAAATCATCAAACCGACCTCGTTCCAATCCATTACTCAACCAAACCCCAACTGGAGCTTCTCTGGAATTTACACAGAGTAAAAGCAAATACAGGATCAACCATTAAAAAAGTTGTATAATCTCTAAATAATATATCTGTACTGTAGATTCCCTTTTAAATATTTCTGTTGGAAAAATCTGGTCTGCAAAACCGTATCAAATCTTGTGATCTCTTACAGTTGAAATGAATTTTGTATGAAGGTCTGAACATTCACACTGTCCACTGTAGCAAGGTCTCCTCTCTCATCTCTTTGACAGACGCCTCTTGCTTCTAGCCACGAGGACGTAAATATGGGCATCCAGTAACAGCGCAAACCATCACGGTCAATTTTTGCACCCTTTGGGCAATAATTTTCTAGTGGAAAGCATAAAATATTCGCAAAACAAATGATGTTCATTTTAGATGCATCCACAACTAGAGAACACAGGTCACGTAATGTAATGCTCTATAATTGCAAACAACTAGCAAGAATAATATTCATTACTGAGCAAGGCAGATAAAACATCTCACCGCTGAAGCAGCCTGTAAAAACACAGAGAATCCAAATGAGAGGCAGGATTACACGTACAATATTTGCCATTTTATCTCTTCCCCAGGTAGAGCATGATAAATGTGAGTAATAATGAATCATGCATGAGAGAGACTGCAAGAGAGTCCATTTCATGCTGACTCTGTCCGTCCACGAAGACCCAACTCCCCTTCTGCCTTTTAGTATCTCTCTCTCTCTCTCTGGCCTCCTTTTGTATTTCTCTTGTACTTGTCCTTTTAGTGCTTGGTGACTTATTAGCATTGTGCATTTCTACACATAGTTTCCCCCACCACCCCCACCCCTCTTTAACATTCGCATGACTTTTGGTTTGTCTCACAGCAACAAAACAGAAAAGAAAGGCTGGACAGTGTCCTCATTAACATGCTGTAAAATCCCGCCTGATGAATAGGCAGTTAACGCTCATCCAGGGTAAATGCGTCACCACCTTCTTTATAACACTAATGTATACAGTATATACATGTGTATATAACTAAAGAATAATAGTTCATTTTTCAAGGCATCGGAGGTGCTGTTTACCATTGGAATAGAACTTCTGCAATTTTGCTCTTCCGAAAAACCTTGCAAATACTAGTCTAACCTTCAGGCAACTGTTTCTCCTTCAGGACATACATCACTCTCCACTCCAGTTTAAATGTACAAAAAACAAGAGCGATGAAATGCAGAAAACAGGAAAAAGGGGGCTCTTCTCAGAGACGCACCAGCCGTTGCTAAGCAACTGAGTAGATAGAGCAGGGGTTGACAGTCATTCTTTTCAAAGCGAAGCAGACAGACGTAGCAAGGCTCCCTCGGCTGAATACCGGGTCGTAGCTTTCAGGGGTGAACAATGGTACAGCATCTAATAGTTTTCAGCAAAAAGGCCATTGAGAATCAGATTGGATTCCAATGACCTTTCTCCAAACCTTACCGGATCTAGATGTTACATTACACTGAGAATTGCCAAACTCATGACGTTGCAAGCCTGTATGACTTTCTTTCATTTGGGGAACACAAAAGAAGATGTATTAGAGAATGCTAGGTTCCAAACAACTTTAGATCCCTTTGACTCTCCTTATGTGGAAAAAGCACATGGTATTTTCATCATACAGGTTCAGAATGACATGAGAGGGAAAAAGAAGATCACATCATTTTGATTTTGGGGTGAACTATCCCATATAGTAATTCACTATGTTGTTTTTGTATCTGATGTTGCTTACAGCTGTTTTAGCGTCACGCATTTAGCATTAGCATTGACTCATTGGGTTGGCCTGTGCATTGAAAGTTTTTGTGTTGGGGAAAGTTTAAAAAAAAAAAAAAAAAAAAAAATCAAATTTACCAGAGGGCTCTGCAGGAAACAAAATGGTGATGAATCCCAATTAAACAGCTTTATCCTGATTATCATGCTAATGAAAAGAGGGAATATTGTTATGTAAATATGACATTAACACCTTCATAGCTTTCAGATGCAGTCAGAATTAACCAGTTTTTTCACCTCCAACAAAACGATTTAGTGATGTTAAATGTTTAGTTGTGAGCTGAATTTTTAAATGATTCATGATGTATGTGATTATGCTGTTTATCCTAAACTTTGCTCTGACACAAAACTTTCATCTCGACCCTGCAGAAATATTTGTGGCAGGCTGTTGTTCAGGGCTGAATAACAATTATCTGCCAGACAGATTATTATGCTGAGCGTAGCTCACAATCTCTGATTGCTTTCTGAATCAATTCCCCATCGTTTTTCATTAGCATCGAGCCTCTTTATTATTCTTCAGTGTACAGAAATGAGTTCCCAAACAATGAAGGTTCCTTGAACATTTTGTACATCTGCATCATAAAAAGGATTTTGAACTTGAAGCTTATGAAGTGGCACCTGCTCGAGTGGTTGTCCTTGGAAAGTGTCAGCACACTCCATGTTTAATCCTCTCATACTTGATGTGAGAGAGTGAAGCTACATGGTGTAACAACTCATTTGGCACATATTCCTACCCAGTACCAAAATCCTTCTTATTTCTCCTTGGCTTCAACCAACCTGAGGATACTCTCAGGCTTCAGTTCCCCTAATCCTGCTAATACACATGAACAACACCCTGAGCCCAAAGGGAAATGCTACAAGGATATCCTTGTCTTTTTTATAGAGGAGAGAGACAGTCTAAATCCTTAATGGCAAAAGCAGTGCAACATTTTAGGAAACATGAATGAATATAGTCAATAAAGCAGATTAAAACATCCCAGCAACAGGACAATGTTTGCACTGTTTAATGCTCCATGAAATGCAGATCTTAAAGGCCGCAAGTGCTTGTAACTTTATATTGATCTGCTGAAAGACTAAGCCATCCCATCTAGTTTAATACAATCCTCTGTGTCTTTAAAATCTGCTTGAACATGACAGACAGTATTTACATTCACAGTCTTACTTCCTAGTCTTATTGGAACTATTTATCTGTGCACATTATTCCAAGTAAAAATCTTAATCTCTTATCAAAATGTAATAACTTTTCTTTGTTTTCCATTCTTGATTTACAACCCTCTTTTCCAACCAAAAGATTCAATCAATTCCCATTGGATAAAAATAAAGTCCAGTCCTACTTTCCCCTCATTTCATTTTTCAATAGCTTGCTTCACTCAGAAATATATCAGATTATGAAAGTAAAATGGATTACAAACAACATTTAACATTGTTTCCAATAGCTTTCCACAAATGCTGATTTGAACAAATATTTCTAGATTGTAATATAAATTAATTTGTTTTAGGATATAAAGTGCAGGGTATTGAACATGATAAAGTCATTTGGTGTTAAGTAAACATGTTTATTAGAGTAGAACAGTGACTGTACAAATGAAAAGAAATTAAATATTATCCAGCTTAATTTTTAGACACATTTGAGTGAAGAGTATCAAAATATTTCAGGGTGGGTTAACAGTCCCAAAAAAATCCAGACAAAACTGAACTTTGAGTAAAGTCTTTTTTATACCATGTCCACTAGATTAAATTTGTTCTCCTGTTTTGTAGGAATGACATTAATAAAGGTCTTGTACAGTATAGCACCCTTTGGAAGTTTTGGGACCACATCCCTGGCTTCGGCACTTCGTGGTAGAGGAATGTACACCTCCTTGGTGAATCTGACAATACCGTCCTCTAGGGCATACATTGTTTTGTTGGTTCCAATACCAACCTGTAAGGACAGACAACCACAGATTAAATTCAGATAAGGGAAATGCAGGTTATTTCCAGTTTTATTGTATGATAATAAAGTTTTAGGATTTTAAGAAATTTAAAAACAAAACAGAATTATGATGTAAAATTACATTATAGTTATCAAATTTGCCATACTGATAATATAATTTGTAATGAACAAATTGTTCTTTTTATTTCATTAGAAAAAAAAGCTAAATAGTTTTACTAGTGATCTCAGACTTTTGGACCTCACCCTACTGTATCAAGAAATGTTAAAATAACACATTATGATAAAACATAGAATAAAAAAAGTAATCTAAGCGACTTCCATCAGAAAATATGCTATATGCTGCTTTTGAATAATAATAATAATAAGGTATATTTGTAGGTACTTAAAAGGGTTAGTTCACCCAAAAATGTTAATTCTTTCATTAATTACTCACCCTCATGTCGTTCCAAACCACCTTCGTTCATCTTCGGAACACAAATTAAGATATTTTTGATGAAATCAGAGAGCTTTCTGTCCCTTCATTGACCGCTACGTCATTGCAACTTTCAAGGCCCAGAGAGGTGGGAAAACTTTAAAAGGTTGACAACAGAAACTGAAGAGAATACAATGCTGCTGAATAGTCATAGTTTGTTATTTTTGATGCTTCAAAAAATTCTAACTAACCCACTGGTGTCACATTGACTACTTTGATGATGTCATTATTTTCTTTCTGGACAAGGACATTGTATCGTACATACTGTACATTTTCTATGGAGGGACAGCAAGCTCTCTAAAACATCTTAAACTGTGTTCCGAAGATGAGGCCTTACAGGCTTGGAACGACATAAGGGGTGAGTCACATGACACCATTTTCATTTTTGGGCGAACTAACCCTTTAATGTTATGAAGCGATAAGATAGATATATTTTTAGCATAGATATATTTTCACTCACTGAACACTAACTGAGCGATTGAGTTTCGCTCTCCGTCAAGTGATCTGTTTAATATTTCGAATTCAGCTCAGCATACCTGTATTTGACGTACCATAAACTCTAATGTGAAGGCGCATGACTCGCTGTCGCATTTCTCAAAGACGCAAAGAGAGAGAACGAGCAAGCGAGAGTCTTACATACCACACAAAATCGATGCGCTACATGTAAACGATATTCTTGTTAGAACTGTAGGCCTATACTATTTTTTTTTGTTGTTGTTTATTGTCATTATAAGTCGTAGGATAATCTTTTAATAATAATTATTATTATCAATTACTATTATCTTTTTCTACAGAAACACTGAATGACCAACAATATCTTAAGCACCACCACCAGTCTTAAGTTCAGTTAAAATGATAAATATGCATTCATGCATGATTATCAAGTTTTGGTTTTAATTACTAAAGTTCTATCGTTAAATAGGCTAATGCTTGATTTAGCACAATATAATGCTTGATTGAATGATTTTAAGAGTTTACATATAGATATTTAAAAAGCTGTGCCATTTTAAAATGATAAGCTGATTTGGTGGAATTATATATATATATATATATATATATATACAGCCAGGCGAGTAACCTTAAATATTGACTAGCCAATGGAGATTTTATTGCCAAGGTGTGCGTAGAGAGTTGAACTACTGTAGATGATTAACAAAGGTCTTACCAGTTTGGAACGACACGAGGGCGAGTAATTAATGACAGTAATTAATGAATTTTATTTTTTGGGTTTCAGCTAAATTTTAAAAGTAAAACAGTTGTGATGCACAAAATAATAAAATATCAAAAAGGTAATGTACAAAAATATCAAACGTTTGTTTTGGTAAACAGAAATTGCCATTAATAAATTGCATAAAATGACAACAAATAAAACACATGATAACATGATCAGACACAGCTATAGCTATATAACAGCAATTCATAGGAAAATATTTTACATGAGCTCCAGGTTGCCAGCGCATTAGACTCTTGCGTTGTGTTGCGAGGATGTTGCCAGCATGTACAAAGTTCCCTTAAAAAAAAGGAAAGACAAAACATGTGCTATTATGCAAGAAAAACCATAGCTACAGTAAAAACTGCACACAAAATCGCTGTGTTTCTTGTATCATATCAAGTTCAATAGTCAAAAGTACCATCTTGTTTCTTGAAACCGTATCTGCGGCCAGCACTCTTCCCTCCAAGGTTTTTGCTGCTTCCTCCTGACTTCTTTGAAGCAAATCTCGTCACGACAACTGTGGGTGTTTGACTGAACAGAATGCCTGCAAAGACAAATAAATAAATAAAAAATCAATAGAAATCATCATTACCTGCAACATCATGGATGATTTTGAAACGTTTCTTCACGTCATAACCATCAATTTGATGTATTAAATCAACCTTTGCATTGCCATACACAAAACACAAGACGAATCAGTCAGTTTATGCTCTCTTGAAGCTGCTGTCAACATTTCAGACATGCTCACTCTCCGCTGTTAGGAAATGGTGGCTTATCATGCTAGTTACCAACATTTCAAAACGTTAAAAGATAAAGTGCACCATTACTCCAAATCAACAATTATTATTCACACATTACATTACCGTTATACAAGATACAATTCGAAAAGAGAAAAAAAAAACTCCGAAAAACTATCATTCTACTTACAGACTCTAGATTGTAGCATCAAGGACGTGAGCGCCGCCATCTTGAATGACGTAATGTGACGCAGCGGGCACGTTCCCGTGATCCTTCAGAACCCGCGAACCCGCGAAGCTGCGAACTGGAGAGTCTGACTAGCGTGAGTAGAGAGAAAAATAAAACGTTTGTGAATGAACTACAATATAAGAGTATGAGGGTATGTTGAGTTACATGAGCATTTATTTCTTTATATTTCGGTCTGCTGTATTAAGTTGGAAACGTGCTGCAATGGCTGTCTTTCTGTGTGCGAATGTAAATAATAACTTGACGTTAGTTAACATTAACGTTGTGTGGAGTCCACGCGTATGGTGGTTCTGTTCGTGTTGTGACTGAATATTACGAAATCCTCATTTTGGCTGGTCCTATTTATTTCAACAAAATATGAATGCAATTTTTGGGATAAAGTAACCGTATTTTCTTATTAAAACACCGTAAGTTAGTTACTAATGTTACAGTGTTTGTAGTACAATGAATGTAAATCCTAACCCTTGTGGTAGCTTAATCCAATCCATCTATGTAACGAGATACAACAAAACGCCGTATTCTGACACCATTTGAATGAAATCCCTAATTAATATAGCATGATTTAACTGCAACTTAGTTATAGCAACTGATCTTTTCGATTGTCTGTGATATAAAAATGTTGCCAACACGATATTAATTTTTTTTTTCGAATTTCACCTGTATGTGTGTGTGTATATATATATATATATATATATATATATATATATATATATATACTGTACTGTGTAGAAGTCTTAGGCACACTAGTATTTTCACCTCAAAGAAATGGTTTTAAGCCAGTTATTTATATATTTTGTTGTTGTGTCTCAGTAGGAAATATCAGTTTACATTTCCAGACATTATTTGTGGCATTAATTGTAATAATCCAGTGAAATTTTTGAATGCACAAGGATTCTGACAACAGCCAATGCTCCACACGGATGTCGGATCTTACTATATGAAAAAACAGAGACTAAGACCAGAAGAACTGTGGCAACGTTTCCAAAGACTCTTGAAAAAACCTGCAAAACTAAAAACTATGTGCAATACCTGGACAAAAGCTGTTTTAAACGTAAAGGGTACTAAACACCTATTGATTTGATTTAGTTAACTGTTAAAAGTTAATAACAGCTAATAATAGTTAACTAATAAAATGAATTGATAAATAAAATCTATTTATGATTATGACATCATTTTTGAAAACATTCTCATTTACAGCATTTTTACACAAGTGCTTTTTCACAGTACTGTAGCTTTGCAGGCAGGCAGGCACTACCTTTGAGACGTTGCTGCAGTTCTTCTGGTCTTAGTCTCTGTTTCTTCATATAATTTCAGATGCACTCGATGATGATGAGATCCGACGTCCGTGTGGAGCATTGGCTGGTGTCAGAATCCTTGTGCATTCAAAAATTTCACTGGATTATTACAATTAATGGCACAATTAATGTCTGGAAATGTAAACTGATATTTCCTACTGAGACACTACAACAAAATATAAATAACTGGCTTAAAACCATTTCTTTGAGGTGGAATTACTAGTGTGCCTAAGACTTCTGCACAGTACTGTATATATATACATATAATTTTTTCCCTTTTTTAAGAAAACTTGAAGGTGACTGAGTAATATAAACAATTTGTGAAATAAATGTTACAAAAATATATAATATTATTTTGCTATAAAGAAAATATATTATTAGTATTGATTAAATATAGTATTAATTAAAACAAACATACATATAAAACTACACACTTATTTATTATTTACTTCTTTTGTGAAGGGAAGAAATATCAGCAGGGCAAGAATAGATCTAAACTTTATTTGTTTATCTGAAAATCTGTATTGTTGAGACTTGTGTTTTAATTTGAGCTTTCCTTCAGACTGCAGATCTTCGTATAACAGCTCAGCATGACCTGCATCAGTAGACCTGGATTCCTCTTAAGTGACAGCGACTCCAGTGATTTAGAAGAGCTACCTGTGTTTGATTTCTCACAGTCAAAATCTAGACAGGCCAACTTGGTGGTTTTAAACAGTTCCGACTCAGAAATGGCTCATGTTGCTGATCCAATTTCAGCACTAGAGGTCCACGCCTCCACTGGACCTGCTAGAAGTGACGTGTTGATGGTCAGTAGTGACAGCGAAGTGGAGGAGGCCATCATTCCCTTAGCTGTGAGACTGAAACAGAAACAACTTGGTCTGGGTACAGTAGCCACTGCTGCAGAGGAGACTCAGGCTTTTAATATGGATCCTAATGGATATTCACACCTCTTAGATGTTCCAGCACATCATATCATCCCCGAGGCCCACCTAGCTGAACATAACAAGATCTGTAGAGATATGACAAGGCAGTGTAGCTCAAACATTGCTGCACCATACCTTACAAAAGAACCTTCTGCTAAAGCAGATAATGGCGCTTACCTGGCCAAACGCAAGAAAACCCCAGTAGAAGTGGAGGCTGCCAGACAGGAAGCCCTGAGGAAACGAGCAACGCGAGAGCATCAGCAGGAAGAGAAGGAGAGATTGAGAATGGAGAAGAAAGCTCTGGCTGATGCTGTGAAAGCCCTGAGGCCAGAGGAGTGCATCAAACACATGGTAGTGACGGTCGACCCAGGTAGGTGGCAGTGTTCATCTCTGCTGTAATAGTTTCTTTCAGTGTTCGTTGCACTTTGGTGCTTTACCCGAGTTGTTAAAAAGCACTGGCATGAGGTATTAAGCTGCATTTTCTAAATGAATTAGTATTGATTAGCTGTCTCTCCCTCATAGGCCTGCTGCAGCTGGAAGGTGGCGGTGCTCTCCTGACTTCTCTGCACGCAATGGGCTGCAACTGTGCAATAGAGAAGCAGTCTCTTCCTCGTAGTGTCACCTGGGCTAGACACTCACCTTGCCCTCAGGCACGACAGCCCTCTATACATTATAGCCCGACCGATAAAGAATTTTGAAGGCCGATACCGATACAAATATTTGTTGGTTTTAAAATCCGATATTCCGATATATCGGCCGATACTTAAAAAAAAAAAATATATATATTTCAGAAACGCGCAACAACAGATTAACAGATTTCCCTAACATTAGTTATTTGTAGTTATTTATGAGTTTTAACTAAAATAATATGATATTATACATAATAATATGATATAATATAAATAATATGATAATGCATTTTATAAAGAAACTTGTTTCTTTTATTGTCACAACAGAGCAGACTGATGATAGTGGCATTAGCTAGCTTTGTGGTTAGCTAGTCTATGATGAGCCATAATTTAGCAATGGATAACGTCATACTGTAAATTGTAAAAAATACATTTTCAATTTAACAGGCCAAGGAGAGATGACACGTCTCATTGCTATAACTGTCACGCGCTATTAAAGAAAATACTTCGTTCACATTTTCAAAAGTTAAAAGGACAGTCAGTCAACTACACTGTAACAACATAACAGAATTATAGCTAATTCCGCTTCACTCTCGGCTTATTTAACAGCAGCAAAACTGGACATGATAGTCACAAATTGTGTTGCTTATTTGAGTTAAGAGAACTGATGCGGATGTTCTTTTAATTGTTATTCAAGCAATGTATGTATCGTGACCAAATCAACGAGTGTTGCCAACAGGAACGGTGTAGAGTGCCCTCTGGTGGACAAACTATACAACTGCAACACTCATGACATGGTTCAAGTGTGTTTCGTCAGTTTTTATTTTATTTTTGAAATATTCATTTATCGGCCATTATAACTGCCGATACCGATAGTTTGGAAAATGCCTATCGGCCGATAATATCGGCCTGCCGATAAATCAGTCTGGCTCTACTATACATACAAATGCAATTTTTGCCCATATTCCTTGTCATTAGCTTTGAGGTGCAAACAGTGATGAAAGTGATAATTAACCAATTATTTTCCTGTCATGGCTGAATATTAAAATGAATTAATGAATAATTACCATCGCACACCTGTAGATAATAGGTGTTAAGGAGCGAAGACCAAAAAAACATAAGATAATCCCGGCCCGCACAATATCAATACTTGCAAAAAGTATAAAAAAAACCCTTTTATTAGCAACGCTTCATTCGCATGACCTTCATCAGGCATTACATTTTAAAGATTACATTTAACAGTGTTTTCTTTTAGTGTTTTGAAGCAAAGTATAATTTTAAGTTAGTGTTATAAAATATAAAATTCCGTCACTGTGATGTCGTCATCGTGTAAATCTCGTCCCAACATTTTTGATTGGTGTCGTGATTTCGACGGGTTAGAAATTGGCTTGAATGAGCTCTTTGTTAGACTAACTTGCAGAGCAAATCTAAATTTGGAAGTTGTCTAGGTTTTCCCAGGCTTCGTCTGGACATGATTGGATCGTCAAATGCCTTGATCGCGGTCCTCTGTTCCTCTTTTAAAATAAATGCGCTGTCTACGTCTTCTATAACAGATGCAATGGCTGCATCTAAATTATCCAGCGGCAACCAATTATTTGTTTCGAATTCATCCCAAAGCTCTGTTTGGTGATATGGATAATTATGTTACGGTTGATCATCTGTCCATCATTGTATAAAGCCCACTTGACAATTTGAACCAAAGCTGTTCCGGCATACTTGCTTCTCAACTGATCATATCCAGACCGCACTAGCTAGATGGGATTTAAACTTTGTAGGCTGAAGACACAAGTTTGGATTGAAGATGAAAAACTTACCTAGCACAATGTTCTCTCACCATTCCTGATTTCTAACATGCAGTGTTCGGTTGGTCTTGTGGCTTTTAGAGCAGAAACGAAAGCTCTCTGTGTGTTTTTCTGTTTTTTTCCGGTCACGTTCACATTAACTTATTTTGTCCATTTGATCAAAAGATGAGAAAAAGTCCATACATTTACCTGCCCATAGACCGTCACCGTACCCTAAAAATTCAGTGGTTGAAAGTGCCAAGTGGACAAGAGACAGGTTAAAACACCAGGTGTAAACAGGATTGTGTCTCCCTTGTCTATGTGATCCGATCGATCAAAACTCATTGAATGAGTATGAACATTTCATTTTTGTTTGGATGATGTAATTAGTGAAGAATCAATGTCACCCAAGGATTTCCTGTTTAATCTCATGAATACAGATTCTGATTGTCAAATTTTTACATTTTAAATACATGAATATGGCATTATAAGATGTTTATTTAACGTTTGTATTCTTAAACGTCTATGTGGCATCTAAAATCTGGGCAGAAATTAGGAACGGCTAAATCATTGGTTCTCAACCTCGGGGCCGGTTCCCACTAGGGGACCTTGGCAAACTTCTTGTGATACATTATTTAAATGTATATAAAAACTTTTATTAACATATTGTAATCTTAATTAAACAGCGTGAAACTGATGTCTTATTTTTGAGATTTTGTTATATCACATTAGAAGTCCCAGAGTTATATATTAGCTTAGAATTATTAGCTTATATTAGTTTCTCAAACAAAGCGGGTGGGGGGGCATTGGAGTCAAAAAAGTTGAGGACCACTGATCTAAATCATTTTACACTTGGTTTCATAGTTCATTTGTTTTGTTTGCAGACTGGTGAGATTATGTCTATTCCAGAATCACATACTGTAATCCAAGTTCCAGTGGATGACTTTGTGACCATGATTAACAACTACTGCAAGGTACGCACATTATACTCGGCGGAACAGTAATGACATGGTGCAATTTCCTATTGGACCTTTATGATTACTTAATTAACCATTAATAGAATAATTATTTTATGTGCTGGTTTTGCCGTTTTTGTATGATGTGGCAACTAAAGAAGAAATTAAAAGAGCTTTGTGTCCGAAAGGGCAGCAGAAAAAACAGCCATTATGACCTTTTCCAGAAGAGTCAGAGCAATTAAGAGTAATGAATAAATTATGGGATCATCTCTCAATTATGTACAAATTATCCATAATCTTTGAGAAATGCATGTCCCAGAATTTTGACAGCATAGTTTTCCCAACGTGTGCAAACTGAACAAAGAAAAAGTTTGTGAATTGACTTGTACCTGAACTTTAAAGGAGACTTATTCCACTTTTTAGTTGTGATATATTCTCAGTCTAAATTAAATTCACACCTGTGTTGTAGGAAGCCAAACAATTAGATTAGAATAATATTAATAATTGTATATTATTATTCCTGTGACAGTAATAGACGTATATTGTAAAATGAATGCACTGTTATATAGTACTAAAATAGTTGGGTACAACAGGGCTAAAGGTGAACCATGGTAAAAGGCGCGAAGCAAGCTCCGCGGCTGAATTCTACTCGACAATCAAATCGGTGTTGCGTCAACAATGTGCCGACTTGTAGTAAGACAGTGAGTGTTTAGTGTGCCATTTGGGACCGGGCGATTCCTTGTGAACTGAACCATACTGAGAAGCAGAAAACACTGGATCAAGTGTGGACACTTTGCTTTGAAATACAGTGCAAACAGGCTATATACTTTTTAGTAGACTATAGTTTTTTGCCATTTGATTAGGGCACAAAGCCATATTGCGCTTTTGATTTTAGTTCATTTGATGGCTTTAGTTTGTTTGGCGCAAAACAACGATTGAGACCTTTTATGCTATTAAGAAAAGTTTTTAAATATGTTCAATTCATTTTGAAGCTGTGGCAGCACAGATTAGACTATGGCAGGTCCCCAGAGTCTAGGAAATGAATGGTAAACACTTTTTCTCCTTTGTGGTGATTTTCTCTTTTAACATAGAGGCAAAGCAACAGTATGACCGAAAGCGGCATATCTCTGACCACCTGGATCCAAGGACTTATGAGCAGAAACCCAGGCAGAACCCTCAGTCTGGTCGTGATTGACATAGAGAAGTACTTCAGGTGAGTGACATACTGAGAGTGTCAGTTGTATTTAACCTGGAATTTTTTTCAAAGTTAGAATGTTTATTAGCGCTGGGTATTGACACAATTTTCACAAATTGATTCAATTTCGATTCACAAGCTTGCAGTTTGATTCGATTTCAATTCAATATTTATTATTTTGGATAGCAGGTACAATACGTGGCAAATTTTCTCAAGGAATACAAAGCTAATACTGTAAACAATGGGAGTCAGTTGTAGCCTACTAGGCTTTATTAGCCTACTTTAATATAGAAGGTAAAAATTAAACGATTTGAAGCTATACAAACACTTAAATTACACTTTTATTTATTTTTATAAGAAAGTTATTTGAAAGTCAGTAATCACTCCCTCATGTTGTTCAACCCCATAACACTTTTGTTCATCTTGGGAACACAAATTAAAGGGGTGATGAACTGAGAAATCAAATTTTCCTTGAGTTTTTGACATCCAAGAGGTCATCATATTATAACAATATCCTGTAAGTTTCAGAACTGAAAACATCCTTGTTAGTCCAATAAAAGCTTTTATTGACACCAGCCTCAGGAAACGACTCGTTTTTCAAAGTGGGGAACTATGACGTCAAAGAGGATAAAACACCACCCCTGCAGAAGATCAACGCCTACTTCAACACAGACGGTTTAGCCCCGCCCACTGATTCGCGCATTACACGCATAGCTAAATAACATAGGCCTACCTCGTGATGACAAACCTGATTGAGCTACCGAGCAATACAGAATATTGTGCAGTCAGTGCCTGGTTGTGGAAGAAGACAGTCGCTGCATATGCTTCCTCTGGATTTCAATAGGACTGCATGGATAAACTTTATTTTTAATGACGTTCCAGTCCAGCTGATGAGGGTAAAACTGTTTGTTCATTTCATTTCACTGAGGTTTGTTTTGTAAACAAGACTGGATTTGCTGACCGATTAGGAGTAAAGAATGGTGCTGTGCCGTCTATATTGAATCTGACAGGAATACGCCCATAAAAACCGAGCGTTTCTGGGCTGGTCTCAAAGCTAGGGTAGAAAATAGCCTATTACTTCTTCATTTTCATGTTTTTGAATGCAAAAACCAAGCGCACGTCATAAGTTCACCTCAGAAAACAATATAATAAAATTTAAAAAGCCAGTTCATGACCCCTTTAAATACTGGTTGTCATAAAAATTTGCCAGATTTATTCAAACATTCATTAAATATTGAAGAACCTAAAAAATATAATGAATAGTATTATATGGTGCATATATTTAGCAAAATGCTCCTCTTTAGAGTTAATTTTTCTAGCTGATTAATAAGTTTATGGTCACTGGATATAGTTTTTCTGAGGTAAATGTGATGATACATGATATTGTTTACAAGCTGTTTTACGGACGGTTGAAACACTGAGCGATTCCATGTGACATGATATGGATTTTGATAAGTTGTACTCTATCTTTAAACACACTTTTGGATGCGCATTCATGTTTATTTTTCATGCGGTAACTACTGGTATTATTAAGGCAGAAGAGGAGATCATGTGCGCTCTGCGCTGCTGCTTCTATTGAGTTGAGCTGTGCCCGAGTGATCTCACGCCACAGCGCTAAAATGGTGTTTTTGAATTTATTTCATAAGAAAATGGACATAATTTGAAATTTAAGACTTTATTTAGTATCAGTAGTAACAAAGCACAAAGATTGTTGAGATTTATTGGATGGGATGCGTGCTGCAATGTTCCATTCATTCATCAAATGAAAATAGAATGACTAATCGATTCTTGACATTTAAGAATTGATATCGGTTTGTAGAAATGAGAATCGATTAATTTCGAGAAATCAATATTTTTTACTCAGCCCTAATGTTTATGGTGTTTTTTTGACATTTATAATTGCTTAATTTAGCATTAAAAATGCACTTTTGCAGATCCCAGAATTCAAAATGTCAGAAGAAATTCCGTGAGGCAGTGCTAGGCGAGGAAAAGAATGTGGGACTTCAGGGAGGGCAGAAAAAGCGAAGAAAGAAAGACGATATCAATCAGCTTCCAGAGGTCTCACGAGTGCAGGTTGAGGAGGTAAGCTGAACCACCTCTTTGGCAGTCAATATAAATTCATGGGTGTGTATGAGGTCCTTTGCTTCAAATCAGTCTTTCTTCTCTCTCCTGCCTATCAGAATTTGGTAGACTTGCAGCTTCAAACTGGTGTGCAGGTCCGCTTCCTCTCTTCCTGGAAGGACTTCACTGATTATATTACCATGTCAACCAAAGCAGTAGCCGAGGCTCCGTTCAAGTGAGTGGGAAGTCCAAATTTATCGCTTTCCAACCAGCTGTATCTTTAGTAGGGCTGCAACTAATGGTTATTTTAAGAATCGATTAATCTGTTGATTATTTTTTCGTTGAATCGGATTAAAAAAACTGAAAACAAAAAAGCATTCATTTCCAACCCTTAATAAAAAAATGGACTAACACAAAAACATACTCTTTTTTTTTTATATATATAAAATGCTCAAAAATATGTATATTTTAGTTTAAAGGGACCTGAGCTGTCAGAACAATACATAATTTATAAAAGATAAAAAAAAAACTTAACAGGATTTGTTTGAACGTCAGAACTTGTTCTCTACACTACATTCACAGACGCAAATGCTCACAAACTTGTGTTTTGTTTTTTTGCCAAATATGTTATTATCTTTAACAAAATGTTTGACATTTGACAAGCCCATGCACACAAAAGACAAGTCTCGTGCAGTCGGATAATAGGTAATAATAATATCTCTATCCTAATATTAATTATAAATACAATGTATATGAAACATAAATAAAATATAAAATAATATAAAAAACAAACACAATGGATTGACCACCTCATATGGTGTGTAAGGTCGGCCTATCTTGCAGCTCATCCTTTTCAAGGATATACTGAAGTTTCTCTGAGTCATTTAGAGTTAAAAGTGAAAAATTCAGTGCAGCAAATTTTGAAAAAAAAAAAAAAAAACAATAAACAAAAAAACTTGGGACAGACAAGTGTTTTCATCTTGTTTATCTGATTCAAATCACTGCTAATTCAGTGGTAATAATTCATTCATATTGTTGCCCATTTATCGATCTTCCATCAGTCTTATATAATAATTATATATTACTATGTACAATTTACTAATGCTTGGACACAGTCGGTCTCTTTTGTGCACTCTTTCGGTCTCTCTTGCGCGCAAACACACTCGGTATCTTTCACACGCTGTGTCAAGACCGGCGCCTCATAGCTCTACTCCGCACTCAACTTTTCTTTTTTATACTCAAACATCTCTGCAACTTGATAGTCGCACGGCGCAACGAATCGATTACGAAATTCATTGCCAGCTTTTTTAATAATCGATTTTTATCGATTCGTTGTTGCAGCCCTAATCTTTAGCTATTGCTGTTTATTTCTTTTGTGTATGTTTATTCTTCCCAGGCGGGAGCGAGAGAAAACGGGCTTCACATTTTGTTTGGAGAGTGAGTGGGCAGGGGGTCAGAAGGTGGACCGCACAGGGAATGGCCTTCTGCAAGTTTGGAAGAGACAAATACAGCAGTTGAACCGTGTCAGCCCTGATATGGCCAGTGCTATACTCAGTGCCTACCCGTCTCCTCGGCTCCTTGCTCAGGTTAAATCTGTTTTTAATTCTGAAGTGTCTTAACAACATAGAGCAAACCCATTATCAGCAATTTTTGTAAATCATTTTATGTTTGAGATTTAGTGTGTATGTATATTTATTACTTTAGGCATATGCAAGGTGCAAATCGGAGCATGAAAAAGTTGGTCTGCTGTCAGATGTGCTCATTCGTCGCGGAGAGGGTGTGACATCTACAACTCGCAGAGTTGGTCCAGAGCTTTCTAAACGGTTGTTTCTTATGATGACGTCACATGATGACCAGCAGCCCCTTGATTCTGCTGTATAGGTTCTTCTGCCTTGTACACATGAGGACAGATGTCAAAAGAATTGTTATATTGACTCAGTGCAATGTCAGCTTCATTGAGGTATTTATTACAGTTCAGATATTTTATAAATTTCAAGCCATTTCAAAGTTATATTTGTCTTTTTTTTACTGTAAATTGTTGCTATTAAATGTTTCTTAATGTACCCAAACGATTTTTTTTTCACCTCCGTTAGAGCTAGCTTTCCACAAATACCTGTGGTCCAAAACATTTCTGTACAAAAAAAAAAAAACAGTTAAACTGTAAAACAGTTTGTAGTGGGGTTTTTTTTTTTTCATTTTAGTGGCAAATAGCCTTGGTTGGCAGAAGCCTTTTCAATGTAAATCGGAAATGCAATTTATTAATTTAGTATTTCAATTGGCACCGTTGAAGACCCATGTTTAATGTTTTAACAATAATAAACAGGGCGTTGTTAATCACAAATGTAACTCTTTTCCTGTTTAAGGCACTACTGCGCGTCTTTCGGCACCAAAATGGTCCCTTGAGCACGCCATACTCGTTGTCTAAGGACTGTTGAGGCTCATGGCTCATTTCCAGCACATTAGAGAATGGCACCTGACCAAGGAGTGTGGTGTTGCCTGAAACGAGCGGTGGGGTAACGAGCCGTTAAATGTGCTTAAGAGATGAGCTGCATGCTTCATCCCTGTCCCTGAGGGTAGTATTTCCTCCATAGTTTAAGGGATCGCATAACAAACTATGGCTAGTAGGTGTGTTCTTGTGCCGAAGGAAATTATATGAGCAGAATTATAGCAGCTTGAAAAGGGATCACCTTGGAGTGATTGTTTAGCTGAATAGTATGAAATCCAATTTTCGTGTACTCTGAATGCAGACTATAATAGCTTTTATGACCTAGAGTTTGCAGTGCTAACATCTTCACTGGCTTGTGAACGGTTAAATGGGACTTTAATTTTCAAAAGGCAGTTATAGGAGATTACAATTTACAAAGTACAATGTAACCTCATCTAACCTAAATGTTTCGGGGGAGTATTTTCTCTCGGCATATGGTCCATTTGCATCAAAACACAAATATCTGTAAGAAGAAAGGGTCTGTTTATCTTCATTTACTGGATGCGCAATGTGCATATACGAGTCATGACTACTCCACATGATAGATTAGACCCCGGATAGCATTTCTGTTCAGCAGAGTAGCAGTTTCTCATTTCTGGTGCACACAGGATTCTTCCTGCTTCTTGTTGGAGATTAATAAGGATTGGGAGTGGCGGTAGGTCAACGTCGACCACCTTCACTCACAGTCAATAGAGTGGAAAGCAAAGCAGGGCTGTAAGTCACTGTCTTTCCCTGGATATTCTCAACTCAGCTCATCTCTTGGAAATATGCACCTTCTTATCGGCCGCCACATAAGATGGAGTGCCACAGGCAGTGCTGTTTATGGTTTTGTGAGTCTGTTTTGTTCCAATTACAGTTTCATATTCTTGGCAGAGTGGGGGCTCTTCCAATTTTGTGAGTTGTGCCACAATAATGCCACCTGTAGTGTGCTGGCCCACCGACAACACTGGCATAACAATAACACATTTCCTCAGGCAAGTGATATGCCAACAAGGCAAAGCGTCTGATATTATCCTTCCATTGCATTTTCAATGTGTTTTCGCCTTGGTGCTTGGTGAATCACGATCCACTCAGAGCCACTCACTAAAACAACAAGATAGAATGTCAAAGACTCTAACAATCTATTTCAGAGTATGAGTAGGTCGGCCACTGTGGTATTGGTTTCTTTGCCACCAGCGTTCAATCAATGTTTCCTGCTTCTAAATAAATCATTATGGCTCTGCTTCTGCCTTTCTTTTGTTCATTTGCAAATCAGACGCAAGTGATTCAAGTGTTCAGATCCAGCTCTTCTGTGAAAAGAGACGCAAAACCCTCAAATAAAACAGAGCTTTAAGCTTCTGAGGGAAAACATTGCATTGTGATTGCAGGATTTTGTTGTCTACCTTTCCCTCTCTTTCCAGCTTTTTTTTTTTTTTTTTAGATTGCGCATATGTACAGTTATCTTCTCTCAGTGGACTTTTTTTATTTTTTTTAAGCTGGTTGGCTGAGTTTTTGATTGCCACATGAGGGCAGAATTGCTTCACACTGACTGTACACTAAATAGACTGGTGATTCCTCACTGGTGTTTCTCAACTCTGTTATATTAAACATCACATAGCGATCCAACTCAGTGGCAAACCTCAAGGTATTATCATGATGTATACTTGTCTGTGTTTGAGTGTTTGATGCTTCTTGAATTTTGATGGTTTCTTGTTTTCGGCAGCTAGTAATTCACTGCTCAAGTTTACCCACCGTCAAAGTGAGCCCTATATTTAATGTAGTCTGAGTTATTGTTGTTTGTTTACTTTGCATTGTTTTGTTTGTCACATATCCTGTTCATGTTGCCTTATTTGAAGAGATCAGAGATTCCCAAACTTTTTCTCAGCCAAATGCTTTTGACTTAAAAGATTTACTTTGCGTACACTCAGATTTCAATTTAATATTTCAATAATTTTTCATGTTCACAGCTGATGTTAGTTAATGGTTACATGTCATGCATGGAAACAATATATATATATATATATATATATATATATTAGTAAGTGTTTTATTTCGGTTTTATTTTTAAATAATAATTATTTTTCAGCTTTCCATAAACTACTCTCTAGGGGTTTGCAAATCCTGTTTTGGGAAACTATTGCCTAGATGTGATGAATTTGCTCCACAAAGTTTGATTTGGCACACATCTTTTACAATTTTTGTTATCCAGTCACATGCACAATTTATGTATTATTTTACTAGCTTACGTTTCAGCTAGAATTATTACATGCGATCCAGAATGCAGCAGCATGTTTGGTCTTCAGTCAGCCTAAGAGAAGCCATGTCACAGCCCTCTTGGTTGTCAGCATTATATTTCAGGCTCAGAAGGTTAAACGCTCTACAAAATGTATGATTCTCCTTATTCCCTTCAGTCAAATAGTGTTATACCTGGTGGCAACATCACAGCACACCTTCACAGAACCTCTACACTCCCTTGATGGGGAAACACATTCTTCACCCAAATAGCACACCTCTTCTGGTCTTGCACCATGTAAAAGAAGATTGTATACTCGCTATGACCTGTCCACAAATGACATGTGCAAAAACTGCACAAACTTCTGTTTCCTTATGTAGGTAATAGCCTAATAGGTGGCAAACATCTGATGTCTGTAATTTTGTTTTCTTGGTCTGTTTCTTTGTGCTGCTTTTAGTGGCATTTATATCCTTCACTGCAATAGTTTTTCTGTGTAAACATGCACTAGAGGAACATCCGTGACTGTACCGATATTTACGCTTAAGTCTTTCTTTAGACCTTTTCTGATTATTTGGCTGTACAGGTAATGATTCACCCAATGTCTCTGCTTGTAAATTTTAACCCATTTGTGAGCTCAACCTGCCACCCTACAACCCAGTTGCCTAGTTGTAGTTTTTAATGGCGATAAATCATGATTAATCAGAAAAGAATGTGCAATTAATCTAGTTGTTTTTTGCAATCGATAAATAAACTCTTTATGTTTATTTTTGAATATTATGTTTTCATTTATGTTAATATATGTGCATTCAGCACCCCCATAATACACTGATTTCACACAGCCGCCATTTTGAAATGGCTCCGGTGGGAACAAAACCAAAAATGTCGCCTTCAATCATAGAGAGTCTTGAATGCGATTGCGTATTGTTGTCTTTAATGTAGAAATTAGTTATTCTAAAAATGTACACACATTTCTTTGATACTTTAGACTATATGCAGTGAAAATCATTCATAAATATTTTTTTTATATGTAATTCAGAACGAATAAAAAAGAAGCAGGAACGAGCTATATACATATCCTAAATTGGATATTAACACCCAATGGTGTAAATCGAGGCAGCAGCTTCAGGTTGGTGGTCCAAGCCATTGTTGTCTATCCGTACTTCTGGGGTTCTTCCCACCGGAGCCTTGCTTTCGATTTCAAAATGGCGGCTGTGTAAAATCAGCGTATTGACTATTTCGTATTGATTATTACTACACAGGTCAAACCTTGACTCCAGGCAAAATGGTGAAGCGGTGTGCCTACGGCGTTTGTAAATCAGACACGAGGTACCCGAGAGATTGCCTGGAGGACTTGTGTTCTGTCCTTTTCCAAAGCCGAAAACACGGCATGAGCGGTGCCTACAATGGACAAAACAGTGTGGACAGCCCCACTCCTAGTTAAATGCGTCGGTTAACTCGCGTGCAGCGTGCATGAGACTGAGACACTGCGATTAGTCAAAGAAACATGGAGAAAGCATGCACAGGAGTGCACACTCGCAACATGGAAAAAATGAAGCTTACTTGACAACATCAGTTCATATATCAATATCGTAACGATAAATGGAAATAACCTTAAATAATGTATGGTTATCTGTATCTTTCCGTCCGTTATGTATAGTTACTTTTAAACACGAAAATCGCATTCAGCATGACACTCAAGGGGTTGCCGTGGTAATGAAGAACCTGCTTGTTCAAGCGAATGTATAATCCTGTATCTGAGGCAAAATTACTAAATATGCAGTATTTGTATGCAGTAATATTTTATATGCGAGTTCAACATGGCATCATGACTTTGCGTTAACATACACGCCACTTTCAAGTCAAGTGGCGTGTTATCTATACACATTTTGAGCTTTCGCCGTGTATGTCCACGCCGAAACGAACTGTCATCTTTTGCATGTATGTAAACGCTGTTAAATGTTTGAGTGATTCCGCGTGTATGCACACGCCGTTAAATGTTCAAGCGAAACGAAGCAAAATGTAGATCTACATCTGGGGAGCGCTATTTTTTTTTCCTAGGATGGGATGGAAGACTCATGTTATTAACAGTGACGGGTAGGATTAGGGACGGGGTTGGTGTAGGTCATATATTTATATATAGAGTAATGTAACGTTCAGTCAAGGGCATTGATAAACACGCTGAAAAGCGATTATGTGTGTTGATAGCACGCCAAAAATGGAAGTACAAATTGGCGTGTCATACATACGCCATTTCATGAGATCAGTCTGGCGAGTTATAAAATTTCTAACTACTGCCACTGAACCAGCTTATAAAATCGTTTTCAAAGCTGTGCTGGTTGCATTTGAGGTACAGGTTTCTCAGATTTCGATTGAGACCGGTAAGCATTCACCTCGTTAGTAGTCGTGTCTCCTTCATTGTGTATTTTTATATTTTGAATATATCCCTACACTGCATACTGCAACCCCTTTTACCTCGATCTGCAAGATATTTTGGAGTTATTGCTCCAAAAAAAGTCCCTGACATGCACGTGTATACCTCTTCCCGTCATGGCAATCTGTTCGCTGTTCGTGTTTGACCATTTGTTTGAAGGGCGTAGCAACAATAACTAGAGGATGTGGCTTTTGCGAATGGTCAATTCCCTCCTACCCCCCGCCTCCCGTATTTTGGTACCAAAATTTTGAAAGGTATGCTTGTAAAGCATGATGACAAGCTGAAAAGTATGTATGTTTCAAATTGGTTGCAAATTGCAGTCACAATATCGTCACTTAATATTCATTGGTTAAACACTTTAGATACGGTTCCTTGTGTCGTTAATATATAATAACTAACAAGTACACACTTAGTACTATGATGTTCAACAGTTAGTACAATAATACAATAACTATATTATTAATAATACAAGAAACTCTGATTAACGAACTAGTAAACATAGATATTAACGTAACTAGACAGACAAGAAACTCTGATTAACGAACTAGTAAGTAATAGCGCACAGACGAAAGTTATGTTCACTATTAAGTAATCAATAACTACTTATTTTTTAATACTTCCCAGAGAACTACTGAAAAAAGTTATTAACAATCTAGTAACTACTATTAACTAAAATAAAACTCTTATTAACGAATTAGTAAGTAATAGTTCACAGATGAAAGTGTTACTAGATACTTCTGTGGGAATTACTAATTATTTGGATTCGTATTATAAAGTGAAGATCATTGGAACTAACTAGTAATTACTAAAGTATTACTAAAGACATTTTCTAAAAGTTACTAAAGTTCACCAAAAAAATCTCAAACGTTTGCACAAATCATGACTAGATCATGTAGTAACACTTGAGTCATTACTAGTTAGTTCAATGATCTTCACTATAATACGGATCCAAATAATTAGTAATTCCCACAGAAGTATCTAGTAACACTTTCATCTATGAGCTATTAATTACTAATTATTTGGATCCGTATTATAAAGTGAAGATCATGGGAACTAACTAGTAATTACTCAAGTGTTACTAAAGACATTTTCTAAAAGTATACTAAAGTTCACCAAAAAATCTCAAACATTTGCACAAATCATGACTAGATCATGTAGTAACACTTGAGTCATTACTAGTTAGTTCCAATGATCTTCACTTTATAATACGAATCCAAATAATTAGTAATTCCCACAGAAGTATCTAGTAACACTTTCATCTGTGAACTATTACTTACTAATTTGTTAATAAGAGTTTATTTTAGTTAATAGTAGTTACTAGATTGTTAATAAACTTTTTCAGTAGTTCTCTGGGAAGAATTAAAAAAATAGTAGTTATTGATTACTTAATAGGGAACTACCACTTTCGTCTGTGCGCTATTACTTACTAGTTCGTTAATCAGAGTTTCTTGTTAGTTAATAATAGTTACTAGATTGTTAATATTGTGTTACTCATTAGTTCTTGTGTAGTTATTCATTAACGAAGGAACCGTATTCTAAAGTGTTACCCAACATTGCATAGTGTATCTACAGAGATGGCAGCCAATGAGCCTGTAGATTCTATCGTTTAGTGATGCCCTGCAGGTCACGTCATTTCAACATATAAATACATTAAGGAGGATGACCGACACAACACCATACTGTATATAATAATAATAATTAAAAAAAAAAACTTAAACTATTATGAATCCAGCCTTCATCTCATGTGTGTAACACCATTCAAATGACTCTTATTTCTCTAAAAAAAATTCTTAAAGTGTATCTGGGGAGCGATATTTTTGAATATTATGTTTTCATTTATGTTAATATATTTGCATTCAGCACCCCCAAAAACTGGTATAAAATGTCATGTATAAGAAGAGTTCTATGTGAACGGCCACTTAATGTGTAACGTAAAGCATGTAACGGACAAATTTCGATAGAATTTTCTATTCATCTACAGCTTAAGCACATTCAGTATCCTCGAAGAGTGTCCACATTCCAAAGGCCATGAAAAACCAGATAGCGAATCCCTTTGATGGTCCTTAAGAAATTGGATCATTATCTCTGTTTTCCGCTCACTTTCTCTCCTCACAATCCAAGTTTCGCTGTGGGAGGCTCTGCTCTCCCTAGGGTGCTTGAGAGTTTGAGGCTGCTGTGTGGAATCAGGCCAGGGCTCAATTTACTTCAGATCCCAGGCCTTAGCCCTGCAGGGACCCCTAATCAATGCCCACCTCTCGCCCTCCTCATGATCCCTCTCCCGTAGCGACCTGATGCGCTTGCTAATTGGGCTATTTGTGTGGAGCTGAGCGAGTCTGACGTTCTTCCTGCTTGTCAGTCTGTGTGTTTTATGATGTATCCGGGATGTTTACTTATTTATTTGAAGCATGCACCTTCTGGAGTCTGTAAGGTGGTTTGATGGACTGCGTCCCAGAGGAGTCTCCCGAAGCTGTCCGTGTGTGTACGAGCGCGTGTCAATGTGCGCTAGACACCAAGTCGGTGTCCTGCCTGCTGCCGCTCAGTATTCATTACACACCGTCACCCTCTGGGGCGTTTTTATTAACATTCCAATCAGTGCCGTGCCAGATTGCTCGATCTGCAGAAACAAATTGGGAATAGTCTTTGATATAAGGTTGAAAACACTCTGACAAGAGGAGGCACACAAATATGAATTCATGTGCACGCCACATATTGAGATTTGGTCAATGAGCCAAGTCAGGGCCATTACTCCTCTGTTTGTTATTTAAATGGCTTTGCACAACACTGGCACCTGGAGCATCTCTTGCCGAGCTCGGAGATCTTGTTCCACAAAAATGACCAGTGGGAAGCCGGAAGTGATAGGCACTTTTCCGTTTTTTTTTTTTTGTTTGTTTGTTTTTTTCACTCTCGTGATACATTGTTGTCTTCATTTCCTTTTTCCCTGCAGCTGACTGATTTTCAGAATTGAGGTGCTTGACAGCCACTGTCGACTGCAAAAGACATACTTTATTCTCACAGGATGGCAGCGGTGAGATGGAAAGATCTAGGTAAGGGTGTCATTCATCGCGTCTCTCAATTCAAAGGTCTGTCACACTCCCCTCAATACGCTGAAGGCGAGGCTTAGTGCTTGAGAGTCTTTGGTCAATAGCTGTACTTGACCTTTATATGCCCAAAAAAGTTTGTACGTTTTTGTGCACTTTCCCACAGCGTGTCATGAGTTTAGTGTATCGCTTGTCCCTGACGGGTCTCAGGATCAATCCGAATTCATGTCAGTAATATCTTCTCCCAGCTGCTGTCCTTAACCTGCTGCTCAGTTCCTGCCTGAGTGACGTTAGT